GACGTTTGTCACTCTGATACTATCTTCTTTGCTTTTGAAAGCAAGCCTCTCCGCGTATGAAGTATGTTCTCCGTATCGCATCGTCCTGTGACCTCAAATTATTCCCACATTTTATGCACATACCCACTATCAGCAACCAAAGGCAAGTGCATGTTCGTTGAAAGGGCCGACTACAGTGAGACTTGGAGAAGGTAGATTACTATGTGCGTCTTCTACTTTTGAATTTTGTACAACGAGCCTTTTTTACTTACCGAAAAAGGGGAGGGAATGAGGGAATTTGGCGGCCACGGGCGTGGGCGTCTCCATCTCGTGCTACAATAGACTTGCGATGCGATGCATGCTCTTGTCTTGTGTAAATGCCTCGAGCAGCTCACTCGGTCGCGCTTCTGGTCTCACGCCTGCACCCACAAAAGTCAGCCACATGTTATCGCTCGGGTTGGATGGACAGGATGAACAAGCGCGTGATAAGAACCCCATCTTTCTCTGCCCTACAACGCTTGCGCCTAAATTTCCTGTTACGGCGTATGTTTTGTTAGCCTGTATTTACGACGTATTACGTGGAGAGCAAAGGGTTGGACGTTGCGCTCGTATCCACTCTGTGCCCAAATGAAGCGAAACCAGGTTCTTGATACGACGAACGGCAAACACCTATTTTCCAGTTTCCAGGCCATTGGAGATTTGTCAAAAGGCGCCGTCGCGCGGCAAACGTGACCGCCGTGAGTGTGTCCGTCACGAAACAAAGGCCTGGGAAATAAGGGAATGAAAACGACGATCCATGGGATCAACGAATTATACTTTGTGAGGACGGTCACCAACAGGGCAGGTTTGTCGATCAGTTTTGGGAGCTTTTGGGGTTGTTCGGGACCGAGTTCTCGGCCAATTCGCAACTTTCCAGCGTCTCCCAAAATCCCGACAATTCCAAAGAATGACCTCATAGGCACTCGTCCTGTTGTACTCGAATCAACAAAGGCCCCAAATACACAACAATGACAAGGGTACACCTCCAGGCTCTTTTAACGTCGTGCTCGCATTGGGCGAAACGGTGACGGCCTGTCCCTGTTTCCATTGTTATTCCACGATATACCCAATGCGTTCGTTTGCGGGTTCACATGGGCACACACAATTCAGGTCATGTTCAATTGACAAGTTCCGAGGAAAGAAGACGGGTGTGGAGAAGAGCGCAAATCCCACCGATTCGAGGAATACGAACCACAGTTGGAGGGAATTAAGACAGAGGACATGAATAAGAAAAAGAAAAAGTGAACAGCAGCAACAGTCGGTTATCAAGACGAATGACCCCAGACGAGTGTAGCTCGGGACCTGGCAGACCGTCATATGTGGTTGGCGTCTGCGATGCGTAGAACGGATTTAAAACCACGGTCAATTCGTTTACTCCGTGACGAAGTGCAGAGCCAACGCGCATTCGCTTAATGGCGTGCCCACCTAGCTTGCGCATACAAGATCGGTTTAATTTGCATAGCATTCTTGGAATGGTGTGCTTGATGCACTTTCTCGCCTTGAGGGAGGAAGAATGGCTCGTACAGCATGGCATTGCATGACACGGCAGGGAGACCGCATTTTCTGTCTGGCGAGACTGGTGGATGTGACCGGCAGAGAAGAGAAACGCAGACAGACGAAAGCGAACAAAGTCCCGTGCCATGACGGAGTGCGGTCTTGTCTACAACATAGTCGTCGTCTGTTTCGGCTAGCTGTGGTCAAATATGCACGTCCAGACTAGATACAGGACGATCCGTCATCAGAAACGTCGTAGAGTGTGGTCTGGAATCTTTTGCCGTTGACCAATTTGCAATCTGCCGAGCAGTGTTGACTACACCTTGTCGATTACACCCTGCCGACAAGCATAGCAAAGTACATCAAGCCAACGCTCACCAACACTCTCGTCGACCAAAATACCGTTGATTTATTCTTGGAATCATTTTTGGACTTTTCTCTGGCATCCTCCTTCGTCCTGTCCCTGTCCAGGACGCCTAGGTACCCCGGCTCAAAACACTCCCGACTCTGCAGGGCAGACTGGATGACAGGAAACAGACAGATCCGGGGGCGGTATCATCGTATGGCATCGTATAGCATTTGGAATGGCGTCAAACAGCGTCTTTCGCATGCTCCTTGTTTTTTTTTTTTCGGCGCCTGCGCGCTTCTGGGTTCATCGCTTGTGCTGCGCATTCGTTTGGGATCAAGCTCTCTCGGCTCTCTCTTAGCCGGCAGCCGTTTTTGTTTATTTTTATTGTAGCGGACTCGTCCCAGCCTTTTTGTTTCTAATTGTAGGGCCAATTCAAATTTAGAACAGCCGGAGCTGCCAATCTGCTGCCCACTTTAAACCGCCTTCAGCCACGCTGTCGTGCTGTGCGGCCCTGTCGTCCAGTTGTCAGTCGCAAGGTTGCAGTTGCAGAAGAAGCGCCTCAGCCACGCTCCCAAATGCCCCACCGTTCCCACTGCGACTCTGTTCCTTTCGAGCTTGTCCGTTTCTGACTTTGTGAATCTTCTCACCGTTTTGCGACGCCCAATAGCCCACGATTTGGTCCGTTCTTGCACTGGCGGAACTCACTTCTTACCTCCGGCTGCCAACCAAGTGTCGTCAACGACAAAGACGACAATGGTAAGCTTTTCGTGTTGTCGCCGACCCCAGGTCTGTGTCCATCTTGTGTCGCGCCAAGTATTTGTTTGTAAGTCAAGTTTACGTTTCTGTGTAGGAGTTCTGTCAAGATAAACAGGATGTTGAGATAAAATCCAAACAATGTGATTAGATTTACATGAAAGCAAATAATAACACAGTTCTTGCCTGCGACATACACCCTAGTAAATAAAGAAGCCGTTCCCAATCACATATTGTTCACATCTGCCTATTGATTTCCTCGAGCCCATGTCCCTGGCGCTTCCTGGATCTGGAGACGATGGTTCTCGTGTTCCATGCCGTTTTTCTCTCTCTTTTTTTCACCCCTTCGGTTACCTTGTCCATCCGTTCTTTTTCCTTGGCTCCAGCAGGTTCTCTGTCCTCCCTGTCCTCCCAAACACGAACCGATCGACAAACGTTAAAAAGGGCGCAAAAGAGGAAACGGACCGGGGGCTTGCTCCATTGGACAAGGGGGGGATTGCTCGCGCCTCGGATTGTTTTCTTTTGTTTCCGTTTCCATGTCCATTTCCATTTCCGTTTTTTCCCCTTCCCATGTCGCCAAAACGATCGGCATAGAAAGGAAGGACGGCCTACGAATTACATCCGGCGTCCATATGTAGCAGTTGACGTTGATTCTCGTATTTGTAACTCCGTACACCCATCGCATCACGATTCGGCAAAGACAAGAAGAAGACAAGAAAAAGACAGAATGGGCAAGTAAGTCGACAACGGCGACACGGACATGTATATGAGGCTCATAGACGTCCTGTCCCGTCTGTTTCCCGTATTCCGTGCTTTTGATTTAACACTGGTCTCCAGTTTTTATCTTTGTCGTTGGCTTCTTCGTCTCTCGTATATGTTTTCCGATTGTTTTTGCCTTGTTTTTGCCTCGTCGCTTGCTGCGTGAGTGCCCTCGCAATTCTCCGGTCCTCGCACTCGCATCGTCCGTATAGCCGTAAACCCCGTGGCCCGAAACGGCCGTTAGATGCCCTGTGCACCGTTGCAGAAAACCACTCACCGCAACACCACAGGCGGAATCCTGCCTATCTGACGGCCAAACTGGCCCATAAGGCTGGCGTTTAGGCGGGGAGAGGGGCGTGCATGCGCCGGTTTACTGCTGGCCCGCAGGGCATGTAACGACAGTTTCTGGGAAGGTGGTTATGGGCCGTTTGAGACACAATGAGCTTTCCAGTGCCTTGGGTTGCATGTAACCTTTGGAGGTCGATCCTTTTTGGCTGGGCTCTGTCTACTTGTCTCGTCTCTACGTATGCAATACGGTCTATCCAAGACGGACTGGTCGATACGGTCCATACGGGGCAGGTGTCCATCGTAGTAGCCCAAGCCAAGGAAAGAGCAATGGAACAGGAAACGAACTGGCTCCAACGGAGGAAACAGCGGCCGTTGAAGAGCGCTAGTGGTTTTGACGGGTTGAGGAAGGAAAGACCACCAACAAAGAAAACCTTCCAGGCTGGGAAGAGGACGATCTTAAGATAGGAAATAACATGAAAATCAAAAAGAAAACAAAAGCGAAGGAAAAGGAAAAGGAAAAGGGAAAAGAAAAGAGGAAAGACGAAGGAGACAGGGTACGAGGGAAAACGCATCGGGGACATTTCTCAGGGCCAAGTGCAAGGAATGGAGGGGGCGTGTGCAGTGGACGTCGAGTCGACAAGAGAGAGGGGGCGTAGGGAAGGAGCGGCAGAGGGGGGTGCAATTCCAAGCACGACCTTACTTTGGGACGTTCGTAAACGGTCCCCGTACGCCGTAGGGCAGGAACAGCCTGCTCAGCATTCAGTGGACCAAGCCCCCCCCCCCCCCCGCCCCCTACAAACTCGCTAAAGACCGCCTCCACTTACAAGCACCACCGCCCAAGCCCATCCTTCAAGCAAAGTGCCATCTCTCCTCCAGATCCGCTTTCTTGTTCGGGTTTGTCTAATCCTTCGAGGCATGGCGTACCATGTCCGTTTTCTGTCCAAAGGCCTGGAGGGGAATATTTAATACCAGGCATCCCCCTCTGCACTGACCGCGTTCTTCCTGGACCTCCAATATCATACACCCCATATTTTACGTTTCTTTTTCTATCTTCCAAAGCTTCCTCGTCTTCCTGGTCGAGCTTCTTTCCTCGTCCTTGACATTTAAGACTCGAGACATCCCCCGTCCCTTCCTGGTTTGCTTCCTCCTCTCCCTCACATTCACCTTGCTCTCGACATCAAGCGACTCGCTCCTTCCCATTTAATATAATATCCTCCTCGCCCTCCTTCCTCTTCCTCGCCAACTCTTTTCGTCCACAACCTCCTCACATACTCAGTTCCTCACTTCCAAATATCCTCTCACGCACAGTTCCTTGCTTGGAACACCACAACCGCCCGCAATGTACAGCATGTCATCACAACACCTCCAGTACGCGTATGCGTCGCCCATGTCCACACAGGTCGTTCCCGCCGCACCCGTGGCCACGGGCCCGTCAAGACAGTACGCCAACCACAGCAACAGCAGCGCCTTTAGCAGCTCCGCAAATCCGGACGAGGACTGGACCAAGATTTCCGACCTGGCCGAGCGCCGCCGGATACAGAACCGCATCGCCCAGCGGAACTACCGTAGGCACTCGTCCTTTGCGTGCTTTTAAGACAGAGAGAGGGAGAGGTACAGTGAGAGCACGACTTCTAACAAACGCAGGCAAGAAGCTTAAGCGCCGGCTGGAGGACCTGGAGCGCCGCGCCGGCTCGTCCGAGTTCCCCATCCCTGGGGCCAAGGCTGCGATTGGGGCCGCCAGCAGCCGGAGCAGCAGCAGCGGCGGCAGCACCGGCAAGAACGGCAAGCCCAAGAAGCAGCAGCACACGCTTTCGTCCCTGTCGGCCGCGGCCGCCGCACAGCAGGCCGCTCTGGCGGCAGCACAGCAGCAGCACCAGGAACAGCACAGACAGACGTCGCCATACAGCAACCAGCACAGCCAGATGGCCCCGCCACACAAGAACAGCATCTCGCACAGCCAGTTCACGCCACCGCTGAACCCCGAGGACGACATGCTCTTTGCCGCGCAGACGGCCGCCGGCGGTGCCTATGACAGCAGCGGCGCCACACACAGCCGCGACCGCTCGCGCACGCCGCCGAACATGTTCGCTGCAAGCGCCTACTCGTCCTACCCGGCACCCGAGGACATCATGATGGGCACGACCAGCAGCAGCAGCAGCCGATCGACCACAGCAACCGCACACGCCGGCGCGTCGCACGCTAGCCACCACGGCGGGCACCACAGTCACAGCCAGAGCCACAGCCCGCCCCAACACCACAGCCAGCACAGCCCACACCACGAGCACCAGCAGCAGGGCAACTACCGCACCGACGCGTCTGCGTATGAGTACAACGAGTGGGCCATGGCGGCGGCGAGCGTGCCCGTAACGCTGCCGTCCATGAACCACTTTACCGACGGCATGCTGAAGCGGGACGACGAAGCCGCGGCGGCCGCGGCGGCTGCGGCGGCTGCCGCTGCTGTGACCATGGCACCGTACAACATGGGCTACAGTTTTTTGTCGACGGCCGGCATGGACGCCGCGAACCCCTACGACTCCAACCCTCATGTGAGTTTGCGACGCTCCTCCTAGGAACAGACAAAAATGGAAAGAAAAGAGAAAAAAAAAATTCACAAAATGTCTGTTTCCTGTATTTTTCTTTTTTCGTTCAATTTCTTTTTGTCTGCGGTCCTTTTTTGTTTCTCCTCCCTCTAAACACGTCCTGACATGGGTTGGCTTTTCAGACCCCTCCACTGTCGAGCTCGTACGACCACTCGACCACCTGCTCTGACGCAGGCTACGAATACCCGACGACGCCTCTGTCCATGGCCTCGCCCAGCCTGGTTGTGTAAAGCGTGCATGGTGTTTTGTCTATTGTACAGCAAACAAACGCGCAAACCCATAAACACAAAACATGGGCAGCTCCTACGGGAGGATAAAGAACAAAGAAATACACAAGAAATCTAAACGGGCTGGTCTCCTTTACATCTTTTCACGTGCGACTCCTTCTCTTCTCACTCCCCGCGGGTTCTCTTTCCTCCTGCTTTTTTTCGCGTCGTTTTATTTTCATGATACTCTGTTTCTGCGGGTTTGCCTTATTTATATACACTCTCTTGTCTCTGGGTTTCTTGAGAGTCTTGGTTATCGATGAATTTATGCACGATTTCTTTATTTTGGTCAACTTCTTTTGGTATGGATATACGTTTTTTGGTTGGTTTACGTTACTGTTTTTTTTCTCTGTCTTCCTACAAATTATCGTTTCGACGAGCCTTAGAACCGTGCTTCTCTTTTACCGTTCGTCACACTTCTACACTACACGATTGAGGGCGGCCGCAAGGGAATACAAAACTGGCAAGACATTTTGGGGTTTTAGGGGCGCGCCGGATGGGTTTGCTTTTTGCTGCTTTTGTCATTATGTCAATTATATTTTAAGTTACATATCATATCACACGACGACTTATTCTGATTGTTTTGTGCGTCGTACATGTACATAGTTCTTGACTCAACAGCTGCCTAAGCATCCCGAAAGACTCTATCTTGCTCCAATCGACTCGTGCAGAAACAAGACAAAAAAATGATAAAAAGAAGAGGTATAAATGTCCACCTTACGCCCCAATGTTGGCTTGTATTACGATGGTGGCCAGGCAGCAGCAGGTAGAAGAGAAAGTGCAGATGCAGTTGCTGCCCTACATACAAAATACACCCATTTACGCAATGTGTACGGAGGACTCCGTCGTTCAGCCCAGTTTCGGTCGTCGTATAAAACATCGAGCCCACCATAAAATAATAGATGCTGCGATTGGGGCGGCTCGGGATTCACAGTGCCATCGTTTGTTCATTTGGGGGGGTACAATAGAATGGAGGGGGCGTATTCGGGGCGGTCGGCGATGGTTCGAGGGGCCGACTTCGAAGAACACGGGCAGCAGACACTCCAACGGAGGCGTGGGTCACGACAAATTCGTAAATGTGAAAACGGCCCCCAACCACCTTGGCATTTATATATACGATAAAGTCGTCGCCCCTTGGGCATGAAAAAGGGCACGTCTATTGTTTTACTAGCAGCATATCTAGTATTCGCCTCAGAGTAGGATCGCCATCTCCATTGTCGCTACTAGATTCTCGACTTCCTTCCAAATATACTGCGACAGATGGGCACGTTTACGAAAGAGGTCGGCCTGTGGGTAAAGGATCCTCCTCGTAAATTAAACAGACGCAGAGCGATCCTTTGGACGATTCGAGGGTATGGCTTAATGCGGGCCTCTTGTAAATTTGGGGGCCAAGAATATAGCCGTTGACGACAGGAAGGATTACAGGCACGGCACAACCTGGACATTGTGGTTCTAGACGCCTGCCTTTTTACTTTACAGTTACGCAGTAAGTGCTTCAGGATCAGAAGGAGCTGTAAAACATACCTGTGAAATTGTGAAATCCAGGAGGAACAAAGAAGAGGGATCAGAGAAAAGCGAGCTCGGGGAATGATTGGAGACCGAATGCGCTGTGACAAGGAGGGCTTCGATCGCCCAGGACAGGACCCATATGCGTTGGATTCCAAGGAAAGATCATCCTTTATCGAAAATCCTCTCTCTCCAACTCCCTCTTTTGACAAAAGAATTTGATACGACCGTCGCGCGAGACGTTGCAGACGTTGGGCAGGTGGAAAGTGCTCTATTTTGAGCCTCTCCGTAGCCTTCTGGTGTCCAGTCAAAGTGCACATATTCTCTCAATAAGAAACAGAGACACGAAATGCATGGCGCCCCTGCCTGTCTGTTATTTTGTTATTGTTTATGTGTCGTGTGTCACCACTCGATATACCCAGTTTTTCTGGCCCTCGTTTGCCTTTTGGGTCGTGTGTCTGAGCAGAATTGAGCGGCTTTTGAAAACTATTAACATGAATCACCAATTGTGTGTGGGTATTCGTTTCCGTTGCCTGCTGTTGACCAAATTTCCTCATACTTTCGTAAGATGGCTGCCAAGTGTGCTAGCCATGTAGTTACTATCTAGAACTCATCGAGGCTTCGTGTGGGTTGAGTTTATAGATTGTCCGTTTCTAGATGCAAATCCCTCCAGCGAAGACAATATTGACTTCATGACAAAAATCTGGGGAAGAGGTTCCCCATAATAACAAGGATTCTACAAGAAGCTTCTGACGTTTCCACAGTCTCACGGCAGCCGTCTAATTCTGTTTACTTGGTGCGTCCAGATGTTAGGCGTTCACTTAATACATTTAGGCGCTAAGACGTGCAAAAGGGTTACATCGACAAAAACGTTGAAACCGTTCAACGATTCTCTTGACTGGGAATGTTTGGACCGACGGGGCCCGCAGGGGTTGCAAATCCCACATTTCAAATTCACGAAAAGACACAAATCCGACGCGTTCGGACGGACACCCTAACGGACACCGGAACTCGGGGCAATTTCTCGCCAGTCTTTCTTGTGCCTGCTTCGCTCGTTTGCCATTTGCCTGCTTTTGCTTTTACTACGACAAAGCAGAGAACATACCGACACGGCGACGGTGCTAGTGTAAAAGTGAACTAGAAAAGGAAACGAATCAAGCCAAAACAAAAAAAGAAAAGAAAAGAAATAGAACAAAAGGAAAAGACTGCGAATGATCACGTCCAGAATGGAAGCGATCATCAGATCGTCTTTTTGTTTGAGCCTTTTCGAGACCGCCGTCCAAACTGGAGATAGCGGGCGAAAGAAACACCGTCGGCCGTCTGTGAGTCGTCGGCAGCCCGGCTTTGCGCGTTATGCCTAATGAACACAGTTCGAGTGCGTGAAGTATTCGGGGGGACAGAAGGGACAATGAGGCACGAGAAGAAACGACGAGAACAAGACGAACCAAAAGCAATATGCTGCATGGTCGAACCACACGACTAAGAGTAAGGCCGAGTGCTCCGGAAACGATGAATTGTGGCTGCAAACACGACATCAGATTCGACGGCCGGTTCAGGCATCCGCGGCAGCTGTCCTGCATCACGAAAGAAGACCATGCAGGCCGTCGGATGTGCCGGTGGACGCCAAATCGACAGGGAACAAGGCGAGACCAGAAGGAGAAAGGTGTCTGGGCAAGAAAACGGTTGGACACAATAGCGGTGGTCGCCATGTTCGGAGTATGGATTCGGAGTGCGGAGTAAGAGGCAAGACGCTCTGTCCGTTGTGTCAGAGGACGTTCACCGTTTATATGAAGCTATCTCCGGAATACTGGGTTAGAACGCAGTCACTGCCTGTTTACCAGAAGCCGCAACAGCGCCTTTTGGCAGGACTGCACCGCGACCTCTCTGCCTCTGTTTCCAGTTTCTTTGGTTCGCATCCATCAACTGAGACCCCCAAATTGTCCCGGCTATTTTGTTGCCTGCCACCGGTATGTCAGTCTGCCAACTTTCACCACGTCGATCGTTGTCTTTCGCTGTCGGACGCGGAACATCGGAGTGTGCGGCCACCGACTAGGGAGATGTACGAAATACGCAAAATACGCACTGAACCCAGGCGGCTCTCCGTTCCCCCCATAATAATGCCGTGTATGCTCCGAACTTCAACGTTACCGTCAGGTCGAAGAGTGGCAATGTATATCTTTTGTGCCAGGACGATTGTTCTCGTATTTTGTCGATAGACCCCTGCTGTGTCACCGACGTTTGGCCGTCGAGGTCTGGGTTCTCCGTACATTCAGTTGTATGACTCCATAGTTTCTTTTTCGTTCTTTGTTGTCAGGAATTCCAAATTCATCGTTTAGCTGCCAATCGGGAACGGGGAAAGCAACTTAAGCCCGAGCAACAAATGGAGAAGCAAACGGTAAGTTTGAGCCACCGTTTTTCCTATTGTGTGTTAGCGTTTACGTCCGTCATCTCGGACCTTTCTCTGCCTGTATTTCGCAGTCTAGCGCCAAAACCCATAATTTGGAATCGGTACAGGCCCCACTGTTCGTCACGTTTATCGCCACCGTTTTGACACTTTTACACGCCTCTTTTAGCTCTTAGCTTCTAGCTTCAAGCTTTCCCCACGAGATGTCTGAGGCGAAAAAGCCAACCGACATTTAAGCGACAAAATAAAAGGAAAAAATATACGGCCATCGTACAAACGCAACATTGAAATGCCAATGCACAAGACGACAATCGGCGTACAAGACTCGACTAGAGCTTCTATTCACAGCGCTGTGCTGGGCATCGTCGTATCCGTAAGGAGGAACACTTAAAACGGTGAAGGCAAGGGGCAGACTTGGGTTTATATAACCACCCCCACCTTTTTCTGCCGCCTGCCTTATTAGGACACTCGTGTTTTTGGGACCCCAAGAGCTGAAGCTCACTGTAATGCGCGCTGTAATACCCGAAACTTCAGTGTGGAATCACGTCCACTAAGGCCAACCGACACTTTTCTGCTCCTGTTCTTCTGCAGAATAACATGAGGCTACACGAAGCACATGCAAAAATATTCCATGCGATGATGAGCCAGGCGAGCAAAATAAAGCTGGGCAAAACTGCATTGCACCAGCATGTCTCGTGCTGTCCTGTTTACAGAGGTATTGCGCCGATGGGAAGCACAAGGGCACCATGTTAGGCGGCACAAGGCGTGGCAATGGGACGCCACAAAACGACCAAAGAGGCAAAAGGGCCGTGTCTGTTCTTCGGCACGGATCACAGCGACAGGCAGACATGGCTGCCAGGCACTGTTGTTGGAGCGCCACCAATGCAGGGCATCTGGTCAGGCTAGGCTGGCAGGGCTCAACTGGTCTTGTGCTCTTTTGTTTGGCCCGTAGTTAAACAGCAGCGGGGTGCCGTGTTGGAGCGAATAGTTTTCGGCCAAGTTCGCCAAGTGCACCGTATACGGCGCAGGCAGTAGTAAAGGGCTTTGTAAGGCATGTTGTCTAGTTCGAAAAAGTGCCTTTGCCTCGACATTGGAAGGATTTTTTGTGGACTTCCTTCGTTCGGATGCTAAGGGTCAGTCCACCGTTTTGTGCTCCATCTTTATGGACGTGATGGGCCTTGCTCCGAGCAAAATGAGAAAGTCGCAATGGAAATGGACCAAGGGGTGAAAAGGGGCCTTCGCGACATCATAAAAAAACGTGCCGATACGGGGGAAACGAAGAGGATGGGACATCCCTCGAAAAAGTACGGGTGGAGATGACCTAGACTTGACGGGGTGTAATAAAAGGTGGAAACGGCAGAGGACGACGACACGTCAAAGGGCGCACATCATCGGATGCCATTGGTGGTTACGACGTGTGCGGCTGGACGCTAGGGCCGGTCGTTCTCATCGTTGTGTTGGCAAGGTCCTGGCCTGGATCATCTGTTGCACGACCAGCTCGCAGGGATTGTTTTGTGGTACCATGTTGGACCTCGTTGAGGTTTGTAGTAGACACTGCTGGCGACAGTCGCCAGCTCCATAAATATCCATTAAATATTGCTTCCGAGTTGTTCACGCGGGTGAAGAGGCGCTCGGCGTGCATGATATTGTTTTTTGCTTTAATTCGGGTTTCCAACTGTTGCCGGTTCTCTTCTTTTTTCTCGGAACACGATCGCACTATTGATTTTGTTCGTGCTGACGAACTCTGGCTGTCAGCACTCTAAACTGGGGCTGTAGGGCTGAAAAGAAGGGGGCGGGCTGACATCGTCAGCACGAAGAAACCGTAGCAATGTGGAAAACGTTCGAGAACGAGTCCGGGACGTGAGAAAAATGCACAGTGAGAGTGCCAAGTGCGCCGATTGCATTTTTTTGTTTTCTCTCTTGCTGTCAGCACTTGTCCCCAAAACCAAAGCGGTCATATTCACATGTTAATTGCAAACGCGAGATAAGTCATCATCCGTTTCGTTGCTATGAGTCGACAAGCAACAAGCGCACAGCCCATATGCTTCCCCAAGAATGGGAAATACTGCTTTCTTTGTGTTTTTCAACACTTGGTTCGTGTGAGCCCGAGCGCCTGGCGTCACGTATCCTCCTCGGCCGGCAAGGTTCGGCGGCTAGTACGCTTGCGCTGTCTGATGCGCTCCCAGGTCCAGCGCGAGCCGCTGTCGGCCCAGTGGTCCAGGCTCTCGCTAAGAAACATAAGAACCTTGCTGAAGAAGAACAGACTCAGAAACGAGATGCTGGCAATGACGGCAAAGGCGCCCCAGTAGGTACGAGCGGTGTAGCCGTCGGTGAGGTCGGGGATCTGAACGGAAAAGTAGCTGGTCATGAAGGAGATGGGCAGGAAAAAGACGCTGAGCTTGGCGAGCAACGTGGCGCTGCGGGTGAGGCGCTCGGTGGAGCGGGAGTCCTTTTGGGTGATGAGATGAAAGTACGTGTCCTGCAGCGATGCCTTTTCGTCGAGACAGTCCTGGATGGCGTCGAGCATGAGGGACTGGAGTTGGACTTGGAGGCGCCGAAACCGGTTCACGGCTTTGGGGGAGAGAAGACGGGGAGGGGCATCGCCTTTATTGCCTGGGCCTGGGCTTGTCACTGGCTCTCCGTTGTTCCTGGCCTCTGATTCATTGCCGTTGCGGCTGAGGAGGCGGTCGATCAGAGTATTGTAGTTGGAAAAAAGATGCTGCAGCTGGCGCATCTCCTTGTTGAGTTTGTACAAGCTAGGAATCACATTGGTTGTGTCGTCCCTGTTTTTCCAGTCCTACATAACATGTTAGTATTCGTGTGGAGGTTTTTCTTCCTTTTTTTCTTTTCTTTCGTTTCTGTTTTGTTTCCTGAAGATGTACGTAGAATTCGACTCTACTGTGCCATACCGCAGTTCGAAGAACAATGCTGCTCTGTGACTGGTTAGCAACCACATTATTTGTGGTGAAATGAGGACACGTACTACTTGGGAGACTTACAATATCGTCGAGGGCCGCTTTGGAGCTGTTCAGAACATCAAAGGCGGCCGTGTAGTCTTCAAAGAGGTAGTAGAACAGGTTGCTCGCGCCCTCCACACCCTGGGCAGCAGCACTATCTGGCCGTGGACCGCGCCGCCCCGGCTGGCGGACCGAGGTGAGTTGCGAGAACTTGTGCTGGTCCTCCTTGAGGCCCCATTTCGACAGCTGGCGAAAGACCTTGAGCGTGTTGGAGCGCATGTGCCCGAGCTCTTCCGTTTCCCACGCCCTCCGGTCGGCAAATTTGGGCGTCTTCTCGTAGTATGCCGCTTCGTGAAAGCAGATGACCGTATCTACTTATGTTAGAGAGAAGAAAGACACTCGTGAGAGGTCACAGAGATGTGCATGGACGTACGATCGTCACATAGGACGAACCAAGACCAGTGCTTTGGCGGTACCAGGCTATTGTTAGGTTTCGTTTGGCCCTTGGGTCGTTGGTGCAGCCAATTGGCTCCTATGCAGACAACTTGCAGCCGGGAGTCAATGTCTATGGGATTCTTTTTCTTATTTCTGACAGCGGCAGAGGGGTATCAGCAAAACGTACAATGTTGCTCTTGGTCAATGGTGGTGTAGTTGAGGCTGTCCTGCATGATCTGAAAGACGGCCTTGTTGCTGGAAACCATGGCGTCGAGGGCATCTTCGGCGGCGGACGCCAGGGCAGCACCACCGGCAGGAGGGCTTTCCGGCGCGGCAACAAATGAAGCACCAAACTTGCCGTCGGCGTCAACACCGGGCGCCGTAGAGGCTACAGCGGTAGCCACGGCGCCCGTTTCTATGTCGACCACCGCCTGTGGTGGGGGTGGGGGTGGTGCTGAAGCCTGCGTGGGCGAAGGACGCCGCCAAGGCTCCTCGGCGGACTTGGCCTCCAGCAGTTTCGCTTTGACTTGGTCCCAGGCCCAAATGCTCATGGTGAGACGGCGGGAAAAGTGGTAGCGCCGGCCAATGGCTTCGACGATGCCCTGCTGGGCGCTGGGATTCCAGACGTTGATCCAGCGGACTGGGGCGGATGGATGACGGGGTACAAAATTGTCGCCGTCACCGTCGCCCTCGGCGAGCAGCTGGATGATCTGCGTCTCCGACAGGTCAACGGCCACGCGGGCTGTGGTATCACCAAAGTCGACGACAAAGTTCTTGGCGGAGGCGGCAAATGCCTCAGCCACCACCTGGGCGTAGACGGCCGCATCGTCAAAGTCGCGGAAGACATTGAGGATGTCGTCTGGAGGAGGTTGAGGAGGTGGAGGCGAACGAGCACGAGGAGAGTAGATTCTGTCAAACGATGGCTCTGGCATCCGTAGGGGGTTGACAGATGCACCGCCTGAAATGGCGGTGGACGGTGTTGCCATGATCGTGGTTGTGGCCGGTATGACGTATTAAATTTGAGCGCTTTACAGGACACGGAGAGAAAAAGGCTACGATGACAGTCTCCTTGAAGCTCTTTGTCGTCTGAGTGTCACCAGATAATACATAACCACGTGAGGAAAGAACGATGAAGTTCTCTCAGGATGGAAGGAGCGCCTGAAGGAAAGCAAAGAGGGAAGGAGCCATGGAGAATGAAGACGCAGCCTTGTCGTTACGCTATCAGAGCAGGACCTCTGTAAAGATTTCCGTGGAAAGAGGGTCGAAATCATGGTGGTGATCAACCTCGGTCACCATCAGCCGGGTGGTGGACTTCTTCTACCTGCTGGCGCAATGAGTGCAATGATGCGCAACGGTGATTCGTCGCGTGTTCAGCCTCCACGAGGACAAGTAATATGGGGTCAGCCGTTGGGGAGCATCTGACGTTCCTGGCACAGCCTTTCGGCAGCAAGAGCGTACGGGAAAGGCGTTACACACAAATGCGAAGTGCAGGCTTGACTTTGTCGCAGTAAGAAGGGCTGCAGCTGTATTCATGTACGTCAAGATTGATACAGGTTATGAAGGAGTACCTTGTCTCTCTCCAGTTTGGTAAATGCATCTTTAGATGAGGCGTCGTGCTGGAGAGTGTCTAATGTCATGGGCGCGACTTGCCCTGCATTTTGGCCTCCGCACAATTTGGCAGCGTTTCGTTTTTACTGTGGTCTTTTCTTTCAGGGACGATTCGTTGTGGTTAACGGTCTTTTGTGGATGACGGGTACTCCAGACTGAAACATGAAACACGGGGTAGAGCCCAGGATTACAGTGAGGAATGGACAGGATGACGATGCGGGAGCAGAAATGAAAACCAAACTACGCTTTCGAAGAGATACGAAGAAAATACCCTATGGTCAACGGACAAAACTTGTGACGAAGAAAAAGAATAAAGAAAAAAAAATAGAAAGTGACTGGCTATTTTACATTTGAATCGTGGACGCTGGGATTGGGGCTGCCTGGATCAGAAGAACCCGTTTTGCCTTCAAGGGGCTTTAACAGAGAGTACGACATGTTTGCGGCAACCAACGAATCGGTGACGGGACGATGACGGGAACACGACTTTGTATCTTAGGATACGGCAATAATACCACGCAAAATGAGACTTTCAGTGTTGTGAAATATATGGTGTTTTTGTCTCAGCAATACTTCCGGCATTTTGCTTTTTCGTTATTTGTGTTGAATGGCACAATCTTGAGTGACGTGAAGGAATACTTTTGGCGTTTTCAACCCTGTGCTCTGGCGGAGCCGTCCTGTTTTAAGGTTGAGCGTAAATTGCTTGAACTGCACAGTAATAGCCGGTTGCTGGATCCTGGCTTTCCTGATCTCCTGAGACTCCTGGGTTCCTGGGTCTTTTGGGTTTCCTTGATTTCCTTGATTTTCTCGATCTCCTTGACGTCTTTGATTTCCTAATGTTCTTCCGTCCTTATGATCGTCGAGTAATGGTTCTCTGGTGATGGCCAAGTTGAGGCGATTGCTCAAGTCGACACACGGACCCCACTTACACGCTGAAAGGGCACTAGCGGCTGGCGTCCGAAACTCTAAACTTGCCAAAGGGGGACCCTGGCCGAGCTTGAATGGCCCGCTCTGGCCACCCGGCTTTTTGTGTTTGGCAATTTGGACGACGGAGAGCGTATGGATAGCGAGGAAAGGTGCGTAAAAGGTCTTTGAGAGGTGTGCTTGTCGTGTGTTTCATGTGGTTGGCCGTTGCTCCTGGTCGCAGTACGAGAGTTTGGACGAGACTGCTCTCTCCGTTTGCTGTTGTTTCCCCTGGTCTCGCATGTCCCAATTCTCAGCTTGTCTTCTTCTTCTTCTGCACTCACTGCTTGGCTTGTCTCGGCTTCGTAAAACATAGGTTGGCCGTGGCCCACCGTCGTGTGGCAACTCCTGACTTGTCTCGGATGTCTCTGTCTTTTGTTTTTCATCGTTTCTGTCCTTCTTTTGGTTGTCGTGTATCCTACTTTTTCTTTTTGATTTTCTCCTCCGTCTCTTCACTTCTTCTCCTCTGCCTGTCTTCGTCCGCCACTTTATATTTGCTTCTCGTTCTTCGCTTCTTCCCGTCCAGCTGGTATCTCAGACCTTTTGCACACAACTCAGCCTCCTCCAAAATAGCCGCCTGCGCCTGTTATTCCCTTCAACTTCATACTCTGTCTTAATTTCTCCCTTGCGTCTTTGCGACTTTGCGTCCATTTTGTTTTTGGGTTCTCGTCTTCCATAGTACGCCTTTTAATTTTGCCGCTGGTCGCAAAAACAGTCGTTTTCTCCCACATCGATTTCCTTCCATTCTCTTACGACAAAACAAAGTCAACAAGGACAGTACTCAAATACGGTCAGGAGGACTACCAAACCTCCACAACTTTCCTTTATATTCGTCTCCCCTTCTTTGTTATCATGCCTTCTCATACGACAGCCCGCCAACGAGCGTTCGCCCTGGCCGCCGCCGTCACATCCCTGTCCCCACTCGCCTCGGCCTCGTCCACCAAGGTCGCCTTCTCCGGCTGCCTCGGCCTCTGTGTCAACCACAACGGCTGCGGCGCCCGAGACACCGGCTGTGTCTGCGCGGCGTCGGCCCAGACCGCCTTCCTCGGCGACGTCGTGTCCTGCGTGGCCCAGTTTTGCCTCTTGAGCAACGGCGACGCCAGCGCCTCCACGGCCAACAGCGTCATCGACACCATCGACGCCCAGTTTGTCGAGGTCGTGGCCGACGTGTGCGCAGCGGACAAGCAGAGCGTGCCGGCAAGCCGGATCAGCGCGGCGCTGTCTTCGGCGAGCAGTCTGGTATCGGCGGTACTGGGCGTCGCGCCGACGGCGACAGGAGGTACGACCACCATAACAACGCACGCCACAACGACCATCTACCGGAGCACGCACACGGCGCAGGCCAAGACGACCAAGACGCTGCCAAACGGGGGAGCGACGTTCTTGTCGTCAACGGTGCCATCCGCTGTGGAAACAACCACCTCGGCAACGACTGCACCATCACCGCCGCCCGCCACGTCGTCTCCGGCGCCCGAGCCAACACCCGCGACAACGTCCGACCAGAAGGACACAACGTCCACATCAACAACCAAGACAGCCGCAACGGCCACGAAAGACGCGCCGGCAAGAGATACGACCGACTCGTCGCCGTTTACCAACACAAGAGAGGACTCGGGTGCACGGGCATTTGCACCAGTGCCATGGCAGGTTGTGGCTGCTGCGGCTCTTCCCCTACTGTGGACACTGGGGACGCACCTGTTATAAATGCATGACGTTGCTCGGTGTACGATTAATACGTGGAGGGATATTATTGGCGTATTTTTTGTCTTTGTTGTTGCTTTTTTTACTCATTGGCGTGGAGTCCCTGGTCCTGTACGATAATTTAGTAGACGACGGCATGAATCATACACGTTAATCAAACGGCCAGTCCATGAAAACAAATGTGCTGTATTTGAAACTACGCGTTTTTCTCGCAGCCATAGCTCTAGAAAGGCACACGCTGTGTATGTGTAGCCCAAAGCACACCGCGGCCCTCGCCATTGACGTGTTGTCCCCGCTCACCGGTTCACCAGCTTTGCCACAGCCGACAGGGCCCTGGCTTCCCGCGGGCTCACAAACAGGCCCTCCGCCTCGGCCAGCAGTGCCCCCGTTTCTGTGTCGGGGTCGGCCGGGTCGCCCAGCACCTGCAGCCGGCCCCGCACCACCGCCTTGCGCCGGTCGACCTCGACCGTCTCGGCCGTCAGCACCACGTAGCTGCCCGCCGGGGTCGGTGCGCGGTAGTCAATGTTGAGCCGCGCCGTCATGGCAATGCCGTGCGGCACCGCCTTGAAGCAGCAGCGCGCCATGAACTCGTCGAGCACGGTGGCGACGAACCCGCCGTGCACAATGTTGGGGTGTCCGCACAGCCCCCGGCCGACGTGCATGATCATGACGAGGCGCTCGCCGCGGTCGTCCTGCCAGGTCAGCGGCGGGACGGCCATCAGGTCGGGGCCGACGAGCGTGCCGGCCGTCAGGTTGCCGCGGCGGTACAGGTGCGGCAGCTTGTAGTGGGGGTGGGTGGGTTTGAGGTCGGGGTCGTTGTTGAGTTTCTGGACGAAGGGGTGGTCCAAGAGGTACTCGGCGATGCGCTCGGCCGCGAGCTCGTCCTCGAGGTTATCAAACTCGGGCTCGTAGACGGGGCCGTTGGGCGCATAGTATCGCCTGACGATATTGTAGCCGACGAACTGGCCGACAATTAGGTACAGCGTGGCGCGGACAAGGAAGAAAAACGCACGCACGGTGCGGGAGCGCTTCTTGGGTTCCGGCTCGGGTGGTGGAGGCGGTTCGTAGACGGATTGTGCGTAGGGCGAGGCGGGAGAGGAGTATACTAGGAGTTGGGTTCAGTGCTGGTACATGCTGGGAGAGCTTGCAGGGTCACTTACATCTGACGTTCGCGAAGCCAATCGCAGATGCTGAAGGTGTTGACCGCAATAAAGGAACGAGGACTCGCGTGTGTGAGAGCACGCCACAAAATCGCAGGGTCTGCTGCAATGGCCGCTGCTGGCTTTGCTTCTGGAAGAGGGAGGCAGAGAGAGGTGACTGCCGGCTCAGTAATGGCCGGACGGTCACAGAAAGCGCGCGTTGTGTCGACATTGCGAAAGAGGTCCGCAAACGGCCAACAGCTGCCAATTGGAACGTGGAAGCTGCGGTTTGCCAATAGTTCGTATCCAGGAAGAAGGAGGCCCAGCCTGGGGTTTTCGTGCTCGCCAGATCGTTGTCACGGCCGTCGTGGACGTTGTTCGCTCGGCAGCTGAATTTTGTGAAGCCGGTCGTTGCGCCTTATTTTCGCCGAGGCTCGATGCGACGGCCGGACGGAAGACGCGCGCTGTGATTGGCCAGTTTGTGCCGGTGAACGCAGCTGGCAGGTCCCCTGTAGCATGTCGTACCTGGCTAGATTGTGGCTGATGGAGGCACCGCCACGAAGGACGTTTCAGGCCATATCTGGTGCGGGGCCAATACTATGCGCTAACACTGCCGTCACCAGCACTCTCCAGCAAGCTGTCTGATACGTCACTCCTGAAGATCTGAACAGAGTAGAAGTGACAAGGGGGGCGTCATCGCTCGACCCCGTTTCTCTGTTGCATTTCGTCATTCGTTGTGCATGTTTCTCGGCCAGGATATGCCAGGATACGCAGGACGTCTTTCTTGGTTGTTACAGGATTCCAATTGACTACAAATAAGCCGTCTTCATCTCCAAACACTTTCCTTTCCCTCGCCACAGCAAGAAATCGACGAAACCCAAACTATCACGGACTTTAACACAAACGAATTCAAATGGTGGGTTGAACTGGACTCGGGTGAGGTCGTCAATGGATCTACCGTATCTCAGAGCCGAGTGTAACACGTTGCAGGCTACCAAAGAGACGTCTGATCTCGGCGAGGCGCATGTCCCCAAGGCGGCATCCGTCACGGCCTTTGGCGAAATCGAGCACGAGCTCAAGACGCAGCTCGTCCACCTGCGCCACGAGCACGACAAGCACGAGCCCGAGAGCTTTGCAGTGGCGGTACGTTCGCTCGCAGCCGAACCTGGAGAAACATAGATCCATCTGCCAGTGTTTGTTTACTGACGTCTTTGTGTTTAGCGCAACATCAGTGACCACGACCTGGCGTCGTTTTCGGCTGACGACTTTGTGCTCGTGCGCGTGGCCTCGACGGCGTATGGCTTGATTCTGTTTGGCAAGCTGCGCCTTCCGGCCCTGGCGCAGAGCGGCAGCCGCACCGCCTATGTGCACTTCCGTGCGTTCTCCGAGGGCCCGGACCAGCCAGCCAAATTCCACAGCTTCCACACGGCCGACATTGAGTCCGCCGACGGACACAAGTCGTTCCGGTCGCTGTTTGCCAAGGACGACCCGCTGGACTGGTTTGATGCGTAGGATGGCATGGTGACTTGGCGACGTGGCGACGTGGCAAGGCGAAATAGGATGCCAGACAGAGGGAGATGAATGTGATACGTTTTGTGAAATGCTATGCTAAATTGTACACTTTTGAACCCGACTGTAAATGGCAAGGGGCAAATCGCCCGGTCTGAATGAACCAACACCAGTTCTTCTCTTTCCTCTAGTAATCCTCGTCCTCCTCTTGGCCGAGCATCTCCGCGTAGTCTTCCACCGAGGCAAACGTCGGCAGTGCCTTGAGCTCCTTGCGCCGCTCACGGCCCGCCTTGCGGCCGTTCTTGCTGGCCAGCGACACCAGACCGTCCTCGTCGCCGCCGGCAGCGCCCTCGTCGCCGCTAAATTCGGCAAAGTCGGCAAACTCAACGCCACCGTCGACGTCCATATCGTCGCCGGCGGCAGCACCAGCTCCCTCCGCACCGTCAAACGCGTCGTCGTCGAGGTCGTCATCGTCGTCATCGCTGTCCGACATGTTGAGCAGGTCCTTGAGCTCCTCGAGATCGTCGTCGTCGTCATCGTCCATATCCATGTCCGGATCGGCGCCTTCGTCTTCGCCCTCAATGTCGGGCCGCGAGCCCTTGAGTGCCTTCCAGATCTCCTCCTCTTCGGCATCCGAGACGTCCTCGCCGCCTTCCGCTGAAGCTGCAGCAGCTTCGGCTTTGGCGGCCGCCTTCTCCTGCTTGGCCGCGCGCTTGGCTGCACGGCTCGTCTGCGACTGCTTGCCAATCTGCGAGAAGTACGTGTGGAAGAAGATGTCCTCGGCGGCCACGTTCTCGGCCTTTTGACCCCAGAAGGCCGCCGAGTTGATGGCCACCGTCTGCTTGGAAGCGCCCGACGCGCCGCTGGGCGCCACAATCTGCGCAGCGCCCGTCATGCTGCCGTTGCTGGCCGCCACGGGCTGCATAATGGATGCGCCACGAGCCTTGGATGCCGAGGCATCGACGGCCTTGGCGTTGCGGTACACAAACTTGTCCAAGAAGTGCATGAGCGTGTGGTTGGCCATGTCGGGCTTCGGAAGCGACTTTTGCCGCACCAACAGATTCGTGGCAAAGGCCGTGACCGACGGGTGGAAGTGCTGGAAGTAGGGCACAATCTCCCAGAGGCAACTGTTCTGGGCGTTGCTGTACGAGGGGTCGCGCTTGCGGCCGTCGTAGACGGGGCGCTTCTTCTCCTCGGCCTTCTTCGCGTCGTCAGCCTGCTGGGCCGCCGCCTCGTCACCGTCTTCCGGCACATCCCGGTAGTGCTCCTCTTCGTCGTCGTCGTCAAACTCGGGCTCGTTGAGCAGGGCCTTGAGATCCGGGAACGTCGCTTCGAGCTCCGCCACCAAGAACAGCACGCCGCAAATAAACGGCGGCTGGTGCAGCGTCGCAATCTGCAGCATGCGCTTGACAAAGGCCTTGACCCGGCGCACGTCGACGTCGTTCTTGAGCGACCGGAACAGTAGGTTGAGATACATGCCCTGCTTGGACGACATGATCAGGCGCGGGTCCAGCAACGACTCGTACAGCGTGCGGTAGAAGCGGTCCACCGAAATCTGCTTCGAGCCGGCCACCTGCTGCACCAGCATCAGCGCCTGGATGCTCGTGTTGAAGTTGGACGAGTGCGTGATGCGGAACAGCGTGTCCATGTGCTTCTCGAGCGTCGTGTTGTCCGTGTTGGCAAACGGGATCGCGCGGTTGACACCCGTCAGCAGCGCCGACACGAGCTTTTCCGAGACGTCCTTCTCGGTGCCTTCGTTCTTATCGGCCGCGCTGCCACCCTTCTTTCCGTCTTTGCCAGCCTTGTTCTTATCGTTGTAGCTGCGCTTCCACTTCTTCTTGCTGTCTTTGGCAGTCGAGTCCTTGGCCGCGTCCGCGTTCTCACCCAAGTTGTCGGCGCCGGGAAAGTCGATGGCGCCAAGTGTGCCGCTCTTGAGCAGCGTCAAAAACAGCTCAAAGTACACGCGCACCAGGCTGTCCGCAATCGCAGGCTCCTTGTTGCTCAGAATCGTCTGGTTCAGCGTGTTGATAGCGTAGTATTTGGCGCGTAGGCTCTGGCCGGGCCGCAGCAGAATCTCCTGCTCAATCGTCTGGACCACAATTGCCTTCATGCCCGGATGTGTCGTGAGAAGCTGCAGCAACAGGTATGATGCACGCGACGCGATCTTACGCTCGCGGTCACCGAGCTTGTTGACCAGCAGGCGCAAAAGGTTGGCCTCTTGCTCGGGCTTGCTGCGCAGCAGGCCGAAAACAAAGTCAAGTGAGCGCGAGCGAGAGTATTCGATCTCATCGTTGCACCACACTTCGAGCTGCTGCAGCATGCGGAAGAAGGCATCCTTGAGCCAGTCCTCGTACTTCCAGAGCATCAGGTGTGCCTTGGTGATGCCGCCGGGCAGCGGCAGGTGTGGCTTCCAGGCGAGTACGGTCGCAGGGCTCTCGGACTGCAGCGCGCCCAGCAGCGCTGGCTGGGCATGGAACGACCGCAGTCGGCGGTCGCTGGGCAGGACAACGCCATTGCCGAGCAAATCGACCAGTGCGCCGAGCGCAGCAATAGCGGCGCCACGGCTGCGCTTGCCTGCCAAAGCCAACAGGTTCTCAAACGCCTTGCTGTTGTGGATGGGCGCCTCCTGGACCTCAAGGGTCAGCGCAGAGACTTTGTCGGACATGGTACCGGAAGTCATGATGGTGGACATGAAGCGGTGGGACGAGGATGCAGAGGTGATGGTGCGGTAGGCGTTGGCGTCGGTCTCGACGAGCGTTTCAGCGTAATCCGCGAGGCTTTTGATGGTGTGCGAAAAGCGGCCAATGTCGTCCGATATGGGGGCCGGGAGGCTGCCGACGTCTGCCGTGTGCCACTCAGCGCGAGGCTCAAGCATCTGTATGGTTAGCAGTGTGAAGGCACAGAAGTAGCAAGCTGTGAATGCCACGTACCAGTTGTGAGAACTTGGGGTTTCTTGGCAGAAACGGATCCGTAGATGGGACAGCCTTCGGTGCTGCAACGACCGGCAGCGGTGCAGGCTCCTTTTCCTCTTCGTCCTCCTCGTCTTCTTCGTCTTCTTCATCTTCGTCTTCCTCTTCCTCCTCTGCGTCCTCCTCTTCCTCCTCAACCTCTTCTTCTGCTACCTGCTCCTCTACTTCTTCCTCTGCAGCTTCATCGTCTTCGTCTTCCAAGCGCACTTCGTCAAAGCCCAGACCAGCCGCGAACTTGGCCAGTTCGCTATGGAAGGCCGCGTCCAGCGACATGTCTTCCTTGACGCCCACGCTCGCGCCACCGTCTTCCGCATCCGAGTCAATGCCGGCCACCAGGTCAAAGTCGTCTTCGTTGCCGCCCAGCAGCTTGATCTCGTCGAGCATGACCGTCTTCTTGTCGGTGGCGGCAGCCGGGGCCTTCTCTTTCTGGCGAGGCCTCTCGTTCGTCTTCTGCGTCTTCTGCGTCTTCTGCGTCTTCTGTATTCGCTGCATCTTGTCGACAGCCCCGTCGTCTTCGTTGCGTTTCCGCTTGCCGCCGTTGAGATTCTTGGCATTCCGAGTCTCAAGGTCGCGGTCGATCTGGGCCGTCAACTGCGTAAGCGACGCCTGGCTGAAGGCGCCCGCCGAAGCATTGCCGTTGGCATTGCCAGCCTTGCCCTTTGGCGCCTTGGACATGTTCGGAGCCATAGTGTGGGGGGTGGTAGGCGGTGCAAGTCGGCGTGGGTGTTGTCGGGTGGTTGAGGCGTAGTTCGAGAAACGAATTGACCCTGCTATCGCGATTTTTGACTGTTTTGGCAGGTCATCGCTCTTTCCCAAGAAACTTTTTTCGCCAGGCTTTTTCTGCCCCATTTTCGAAATTTTAGCGGGGCGCCTTCCTCAATGGCGCCGAATGGTAGGGCGGTGGATCGAGGAAGGTGTCCCTCACCGCTTTCCTAATTTGCGATTTCCAGTCCATTAGCGCGGGAAGTCGCTGTTTTCGACGGAGGAAGGTGCTATTGGCGGTCGTTAGCACCAACGGTCACTGACAAGCCGCTACAAAGCGATATGCCACTATTCAGGTACATCCAAATAGCAACACCTACATATGCCAACGGCAAACCTCGTCACGAGCAACCGCCACAGGCCGCTGTTCGGTTCCTTGGTCCGATCCAATGGTATAGGCACTTGAACATTAATTATAGCAAATAGACTGCTCGGCAATGACCCTCCGGTCGGCATTCCGGCCGGCATTACGGCCGTCCTTAAGGACATCGACGGGCGACATCTGCCCGTTTGCGCCATTGACGCGACAAGCAGTAAGCATGAGGCTTCGGGTCTTGTACAGAGCTTGGAATGTACAGTCTGAAGTGAACAGTTGTCTAACCAGATTGCAGAAACGTTGGATGCAGCTGGACCACCGGAATAGACTGTCCAACATTTGGCTGCCGGCACCTCAAGTCTTCCTGAAAGACGCCAAACATGACGAAGGTACGGTTCCAAGAGTTTTTGACATTTAATTGACACAAATGTCGCCCTTCTAACAGCCTCAGAATCCCATGCAAAGCTCATACGAGCGGGCTTCTTCCGCCAGGCGCACTCGGGCCTCTTCCACCTGCTGCCGATGGGGCTCCGAGTCCAGGACAAGATCGAGGCGCTTGTGGACAAGCACATGAAGGCCATTGGCGGCTCGCGGGTGTCTCTGTCGAGCATTTCGTCTGCGAATCTCTGGGCACGAAGCGGCCGTCTGCAGAATGTGCAGTCAGAGGTATGTTGGTGAGATGGGTGTCAGGCTGGAAACGCCAGAGGTGAAACGCGGCTAACATCGATAGTTGTTCCAATTCGCCGATAGAAAAGATGCCAAGTATCTATTGTCGCCAACACACGAGGAGGAGATTACCGAGCTGGTTTCCCAGAACGTGCGGTCGTACCGCGGCCTGCCCTTGCGGCTGTATCAAATTAGTACGTTCATCAGTCTACCCTGATATGAAGCGTCATCATCTAACCCTCTGCCAGCCCGCAAATACCGCGACGAGATGCGTCCACGGCACGGCATCTTGCGCTCACGCGAGTTCCTCATGAAGGACATGTACACCTTCGACGCCTCGGTGGAGGACGCCATGGCCACCTACGATCAAGTTCGCGCCGCCTACGCAGCTATCTTTGCCGCCCTCAAGGTGCCTGTACTCGCGGCTCAAGCCAGCTCAGGCGACATGGGCGGCAATCTGAGCCACGAGTACCACCTGGCAGCCTCTCTAGGTGAAGACTACGTTGCTCACTGTAGCAGCTGCGATCTGGTGGCGAACACGGAGGTGCTGGAGGCGACCGTGGCTCCCAAAGCAGCAGGTCTTGAAGTCAACTACGCTCAGCCGTGGCGCGGCATCTCACGCGACCACACGACGCTCGTCAATGTATGGTACCCGGCCGAGGCCATCAATGCAGCGACGGGCGAAACGGTGCGCATGTCAGACGACGACATTGACCCTCACGCTGTCAAGGCGGTTGTGCCGGACCTGCACTCGGGCATTGAGAACGTGGCCGCTGCTTGGAATGGCGTGCTGGCCAAGCGCAAGACCGATACAGAGGCAGGCACAGAACCTGCTAGCCGTCCCAAGATTGTCAATCTCGTCGACCAGCGACTCCTACAGAGTGACGGTTCTTTGGTCGCTGCGGTGGACATCAACACCCGTCAGTGGCCCTTGTTCGGTTCTACAACAACGGGCCATGCAGACGCGATCACCCGCTACTTTGATGTCGGAGCGCCTACCACTGCTGATAGCACCGGCCGCTCCCTCAACTTTGCCAAGCCGCGTACCGGCGACGACTGTCCGCGCTGCCACGGTCACGGCACGCTTGTCGTAGACCGCGCAATCGAACTGGGCCACACATTTTACCTTGGCACGCGCTACACATCGCCCGAGGCCCTGGATGTCAAGATACCGGCCGAGGGCAGCGGCGCTGCGGGCGCGCAGGCCACGATCGTGCCCGAGATGGGCTGCTACGGCCTGGGCATCTCGCGGATCCTCGGCGCCGTCGCAGACCACCTGGCCGACCAGCAGGGTCTCAACTGGCCGCGGGCGATTGCGCCGTTCGAGGTGGCGGTGATCATGGCGCCGCTCAGGCCTTCCAAGGCCGGCGCGGCAAAGATTCCGGCCCAAGCGGCGGTGGCAGAGGGTGTGTACGATATTCTGGCTGGCCGGACGAACGCGTCCTCCAAAGACACAGCGGATGCTGAACTGGACGCTGTGCTCGATGACCGCAATAGTGCGTCGCTGCTCTACAAGCTCAAGGATGCCGACCTGATGGGATACCCGGTGGTCGTTGTTGTGGGCATGGCATGGTTCAAGAGCGTCGGCACGGACGATTTTGCTCGTGCGGATAGTCTTCCGCTGGACGGCCTGGTGGAAGTGCAGTGCCGGCAGTTGGGCGTGAAAACAGAAGTGCCATTGCGAGATCTGCGAGCGTTTGTCGCAGGTTTGCTTGACCAGCTGTAATGGACGGCGTGTACGATATGTAATGAATTTAACATTCCACTTCAAGCTGAGGATTACAGTGAGATGACATCTATTATATTAATAAAAATGGAACATGGGCGGAAACATTTCAATTGCTATCAAAACCATGAAATTGAAAAAAAAAGAAAAGAAAAAGAAAACACGCGCGTGCCGATGCCCAGTTGTAGTAGAAAATCCTCAACAAATATGAAAAGCAGAAATGAAAATAGAAGATTTTACAGGCGGTCTTTCCCCTGTCCTTCGTCCCACACCCACAACCGTTCTACTGTTTCACAGACCAGAGCTCGCGCGACCAGCCCATCTCGCGGTTTTTCTTGGAGCTGGAACCGGGGCCCTTCTTCATGTCGCTCGTCCAGATGGCCAGCGCTTTGCTGCACGAGGCAAACGACTCGACAAGCTCTTTCATGTGGCCCGTCGACACAAGCACACCGGCCACGTCGCTGTTGTCGGGCGCCGCAACGACAGCGGCGAGCTCCATGCACTCGAGCAGGTAGTCGCGGGAGCTGGTGGTGCCGGCGAACTGCAGCGTACTGGCGTAGCCGATGACGACCTGGGGGAGGTACGAAGCGCGCAGCAGGGTGTAGTCGGGGTTGTCTAGGAGGTTAGTATGTTGGCAAACAAAAAAACCGGGAAAATCAGAAAATCAAAAAGAGCAACGAAAGACGTACCATCCACCGAGTGGAGCAGCCAGTCTTTGAGGAGAGGCTTCATAAAGCCCGAAATGTACTTGGCATTGTCGTCAATGTTGCCGGCAATGTTGCGGTCACGGGCCGGGTCGGGCGCTTCGTTGATCATCATGTGGGCCATCATGGCGGTCGTTTCGAGGCAGTCCAGCGCGTTGACGAGGCACTCGAGCTCAAACAGCGGCCGGGCATGCGCCGCGACCTGGCCCTTGGACACATCGGTCGGCACGTCGTCGTCCATGGCCATGGCCATGTCGTCATCCTCCTGAGCAGTGAGACGCGACGGCGGGCCAAACACATCGTCCCACCACGACGGGTCCGGTTCCTCGGGCAGGTCACGGCCAAAGCGAGTCTTGTGGCGGATGATCTCGGAGCAGGTGACGCGTGACGCTAAGATGCGCGCGGCTGTGAGGTGCGCGTTGCGCAAAAAGTACTTGTAGATGCGCACGCCGAAATCGCACGTCTCCAGTGCCAGGCCGTCCACGAGCATCATCCATTCCATAGACCGGATCAGCAGCTCGTCGGCCTTGTCGACCAGAAGAACGCCGTCGGCGTCACCGGGCAGGTCCGCCGCCGTGCCAAACAGGCCCGTCTTGATGAGGCGGCCAAACTTGAGCGTGGGGGCGCTGTTTTGTAGCATGCTGAACTCGGTGCACGCGGGCTTGGCATTGCCCGCGTCCTCGTCCGCCTCGGCCTCGGCCTCGGTGACGTCGGCCAAGAACAGCTGTGGCAGGGTCTTGACAAATTTCACCGGGTCGAGGCCGAGCTTGCGCATCAGCAGCAACAGCCGCTGCTGCACGTCACGCTCCTCAATGTGGATCAGGTTGAGGGCCATGTTGGTGTAGCAGCGATCGCCCATGAGCTTGGACGCGTACAGCGGGATGAGTTCCTCGAGGCGGGCGAGCCGCAGGAAGCTGATGTAGCTCGCGACGGCGTGCTCCTCGGTCTGGTGGCGGCGTGCCAGCGGGCCCAGTGCGGCGACGTCCTTGCCCTTGCCATCGAGCTTATCGAGGGCGGACACGACAATGAGCACGTGGGCGAGAATGCGCAGGCCGTGGCAGTCGGTCGGTTCGATAAACTTGCCGTCGGTGGCCGTGGTCGGTGTGGTGGTGGTGGTGTCGTACTTGGGGATCAGCTTGGAGGGCTGCGTGGCGTTGGCATACTCGGCCAGCAGCAGGCCCTGCTGGAACAAGAAGCTGTCGAGCTTCTCGTCGATCATGGCGGCTTGGAGGGCCTTGGCCGGCGTGTTGGCAACGGCTTTGCTGCTACGCGCACGGCCGTCGCGATCGCGCAAAAAGGAGGAGGGGGCGGCGGACGAAGGTGTGGACGTGGATGGGTGTGCGTGGTGTGGGGAAGACGACGTCGCATCGGACGCGTAGCCAACCGGCACGTCGCCGTGCAAGATGAGCAGCGAGTGGACGGCGGCCGAGTCGGCCTGGCGGATCAGGTAGGCATCAAACTGTGCGCGCAGCTCGGCGTTGTACTTGGCGAAGGCCATGTCGTCCCACGATGCGCCAACCGCTTCGACGCTGGCCAGATCGCCCGACAGAATACCGTAGACGGCGCGCTCGTGCTGGCTGGCGCTGCCTTCCTGGGACAGCCGGTAGCACATGCGGCGCCACAGCACGGTGGCCAGGCAATCGAAGTCGGGAGCATCGTCGTCCTCGCCGGCCACATCGTCGTTGGCCAGCGGCAGCGCCGAGATGGAAGCGGCGCGCCAGACCTCGGTGCGCTCGACACACCAGTCGCGGATGTCGGTCATGCTCTTGCCGCGGCGAAGCAGCTCGTAGCACCCGAGCCAGATGGCCTGCTCAAAGAAGGCATCTTGCGGTGCGAGCTTGCGGCCGACCAGGCCCTGGCGCGTCACGACGTCCGGGTCCAGCTGCGTGACGAGGCGGTGCGGCGCGTCGAGGTTGGAGTCGCGCACATCCGGGCTGTTTGGGTCGAGCGGTTTGGAGGTGGCCAGGAGACGCTTGTGCTGCTTGATGGCGCCGCGGGTGTGCAGCCAGCCGTGGGCAAGGATCTCGCCGCGCTCGGCGTTGCGCTGCAGCTCCTGCACGACCTCGTCAATCTCCGGTCCGCTGCTGCTGGCGCTCGACTGCAGCCACTCGAGAATGGTCTTGCGCTCGCGGGCCTTGGGTTCGGACAGAACAAAGTCGGCCCAGTACTCGCGGCGAGACTGTGGCGGCTTGTCGGCGCCGCCTGAGCGGCGTATTGAGGCTCCTGCTGATCCAGGGCCAGTCGCCGTCGCTGCTGCTGCCGACCTGTCGCGGTACCGCAATGGCAGCAGACGCCGCAGCAGGTCCCACGTCTGCGCCTCCTCTTCCCATCGCTGAGCACTGGCTGCTGTGTCGTCGTCGTCGGAGCCCGAATCGTCCTGCCGTTGCAGCGCCGTCCGGTTGTCAATGTCCATGCCACCGCCTGACCGCAGTCCTGACCGCAGTCCTGCCCGCCGTCCCGTCAATGTGTTTGTATTTCTATTGCTGCCAATGTTGTTTTGGCTGCTGGCGGTGCTCTCGCCGCTGCTGCCTCGTGCCAACCGGGCGAGGCGCACCCGCTCGCGTAGCACGTCGGCTACCTCGCGGGCATAGCCGTAGTAGTGGTCGACGAGCTTGAAGATGCGGGCGCGCTGTTCGGGGGCCGATCCGCGGGCAATGACGCACTCGTCGAGAAACTTGGCAAAGATCTCGACCTCCTCGCCGACGTCCTCGCCCAGGTGCAGCTCGTCGGCGGGCACGAGGTCGCGCTCGTCCTCAATGTACGCCATGGCGGGCTGTGGGTACAGAGCCCGCGTCTGAAGGGTGAGAAGCGAGGCCGGGTCGCATGCAGCCTCGTGAGCTGCAAACAGTAAATAATCGAGTCGTGATGGTTGCTTCGCAGGCACGGGCGCCGGGCAGCGATCCACTGGCAGTTCAGCGGTCGTTTTTGTCGACTTTGAGCGTCACCATGTGCTGCCGTGCATTCGTTGGCGGTATGTATGGTGGCTGCGTGGGTGTTGGCAGTGCACGATGCGATTGAATTGTCATTGATTTGTTTTTCTGCCTCTTTTTTGATGTTGGTCGAGCTGCCGCCTTAGTGGACCTGCTTGGTGCTAGAGCTTCCTTCTCTCTGCGCCTGTGGAGACCGCGACGCGCTGTGCACGCAAAGCGGTCAAGCTGTTCACGTGACCAGACCCACAGTCTGCCAGTGGAAATGCACGCCTTAAAAGCACACGCCGAATTTTCTGCCTCTTTTCAAAATTTCTCTTCTTCTTTTTCTCTTTATCAATGTCTTAAATCATCGGCTTTCATATTAGAGTCTCGGAGCAAGACCTTCACTGCTTGCTCAGGTTCAAACGGATCTCCAGCGTGCTCAATGAATGCCTAGAGTAACCATGCACTCTCCGAAATTGTTGCCTGAGGTGCATTCTTTTGCGCGGTTTAGGGGACGTTATATCTGGACGAGTGCACATCTCTTTGGCTCTTATCTTTCTTTACTTTTCTATATCTGTCTGTTGTCTATCTCGGATCATTGCTTTTTGCGCTGCTGGAGCTTGAGACGCAGCAAGTCGGGTTTGGGACAGCTCACTGTCGAGGCTCTGTCGCCGTTGCGCTTGTAAAATGTCTGGCAGCATTCGTAGAGTGCGTCGACGAGGTGCTCGCACTTGTCCTGGTTGAAGCCGTTCTTTGTGAGGCAGTCTGGGATGTCAGTCGCGTGTCAGATCAGAGCATCTTGCGGAGTGCATCAAGAGCTGGTGTCACCTTGGATCGCGCACTGCATTCGGTCGGTTAGTCTCGGTGGACAACATCACGGGACAGGGACGGGGGCACTCACTGCTCGCGGATGGCACGGCGGGTCGGTCACGAGATCGGCTTCAAGCTTCTTGTTCGCCTGGGAAGCGGTTAGATGTCGTGGTCGAGTGATTGATGTTCTGCACAGATTTGGGGGCAAATCGGCGGCCTGCCAGTCAACTTGCCATGCTGTCGTTGGTGGCCAATGGAAAGGTAAGCTGCGTGTGTAAACAAAGCTCTGAATGCACGGTTCACTATAATGGAGAGCCGTAGTTGACGTGGCCACGGAATTTGTCCTGTTATGCTGGTTGTTGTTAAAGGAGAAAAGACCTGATCTCGACAGTGTCTGGTGATTGCCTTTGTTAGTGCCTTGTGTATAGCCTTCCTTCCCTTCGTCATCGACCTGTTTGTTCCTGCCCTCAACTTGGAACAACATCTCAGTGCAAGTCACGTGTGCGTACCATTACTTCGACAGCAATTCATGAAGGGCGCGATCCTCCTTTGTTAAGTTATAGACATTTTGTTTGCTTCACGTCGTTTTACCATGTTGTGTTCTTTTGCACACAACCCAATCCGGCCTCATTTGGTCTGTTTTCGTGCCAGTTTGGTATTGCACAGTCCGGCATCCGTGAATACCTGTTAGCGGTTGGCTCCTTCCCCAAACACGCTGCATCTTACGCCACTTTGGCCATAGCGTAACCGCGCCTACCTGTTTGGCGCCCACCGCCAATTATTAACACGCTTTCACACCTGTCCACTATCCGCCACCCCCCTTGCCGCTGTAATACTAAGTCACTCCCCTCTCCGTCCCTCCTTCTACCGGCCCCTCTCTCCCGTGCGTGCCCGTCACTGCCGCTAAGACGCCCTGTCACGCTTTCCGTCTCTTTGTCGCCTCTCGCGGTTCTGACGACAGCCACTATTTTTCGTCTCGACTTTTGGACCTCTTTTTTCCAGACTTGCTCCGTTCTTCTCTCTTCTTTCTCCCTCTTTCCTATTCTCTCTTTGACACACCAGTCTTCCACTCAACAACCAACTCTGTTCCCGGTGACATTGTGCCATTCTCCAATTTTCCCTTTCTCTTTGCTTGTCTGGCAATCATCGGCATCGCATCCGACGATCGCATCGAAACGCCACACCGCCCAGTCGCAACCGCGCAACGCACACACCCCCCGCATCACACTTCCATCGGTAAGTGCTATCCACCATTTGACGCGCCCACCAGCACCCGGTTGCCTCATGCGATCGCGCTCAGGCAACGGATGGGCAGGGCGCGTGCCGCTCCGTGAGACATGCCGGACTGAGATGGAGCAAGGGGAAAAGCATCGATGCTGTAGAAGGCGATCTGTCCGGGCCAGCCGGGGGACGCTCCCGTGCGCGTTGCTGTGCCCTGTACTAGGCAGCAGCGCAACGCGGCAGCGGCAGGCTCTACATGTCCAGAGACGGCATCAAGATGGAGCTCAGGCCGACAACTAACAAGCGTCCTCGTTGTAGAAAATCACAGACACGACAACCTCGCCGCCACCACCATGTCGGAGACCAACACCCCCAACCCCGCCGACAACAAGGACGGCGCTGCCGCCGGCGGCAACGGCGAGGCGGCCGCGCCCGTGGAGCACCTCAACATCAAGGTGACGGACAACAACAACGAGGTCTTTTTCAAGATCAAGCGGACGACGAAGCTGGAGAAGCTGATGACGGCATTCTGCGACCGGCAGGGCAAGTCCCTGTCGTCGGTGCGGTTCCTGTTTGACGGCCAGCGCGTTCAGCCGAGCGACACGCCGGACACGGTAGGTTCCCGCCTTCCCCACCCCTCTCCACCTGGATGGCATCGGAGAGCGAAAGCGAAAGCGAGCACCCGCCAGCCCCTCACGGCTCTGAGCGAAAAGGACGGCCCTCCAAAACACTTGCTAACTCGTCACAGCTGGAAATGCAAGACTCGGACACGCTGGAGGTGCACCAAGAGCAGCTGGGTGGTGGCAACTAGGGAAGGCATGGTAGACCTGGGGCAGAAAACGGCAACGGGGAGTGGGCGAAGTCTACTCGGACGACGAAAACTACAGAGATACGAGTTGCTGGAGATGGCAGTAGATGGCTGTCCGCGAGGGCAGCCAATGGAGTTTGGGAAGATGATATACACACACTTTCGAAATCAGGGTACGGCCTGAACAAGCAAATAAAATAATCCTCCACATCGTCGTGTCTTGTCCTTTGACTGTGATTTTGGCGATTGTTTGCACGCAAACATAGCACAGACAAGGAATGCACTGGAAAAGGCAAAACGTTTGTATTCATTTAAACAGTGGGACATGCGTGATCTTTTAATCTTGAGCGTGAAGTGCATCAAAACAGCAAAAAGCAACGCCGAACAAAAACACAACAAAAGTAAACGCAAAATACCAAAAACGATCAAACAAAGCACGTTTTCCGCGAGCCAAAACCATGCGAATAAATCAAAACCAGACAAATCATCCAAAGACTTGAACGTCAATATCTCCTCATTACTTCGCATCCCAACTCTCGTTCACGCTTTGAGCTCCCGTTGGCGACACATGGTGCATACGACTTGCATGAGGCCGCCAGAACCCTCTCGCGGAAAGATTTGGCCATCGACAAAGCCGCCGCTGCAGACGGCGCACCGGAAACAGTCGTCGTGCCACTCGGCGGCCAGTGCCTGCACGTACTGCCCGATGACGGCTTTCCCACAGGCGCGACACTTGGGGGCGCGGCGCTCCGTGCGACGTGTCTGACACGACACGCACCAGGCATAGCCATCCTTTTCAATGTGTGTTGCGCCAGGCCCAAAGGGCTCGCCGCACTCGGCACAGAAGAAGTGGCCGACATGCCAGTGTTCGCCCAACGCGACAACGTGCTCGCCGACAATGGGCGTCATGCAGTGCTTACAGCGCGGCGCAAACAATTCGTGCCAGTCCAGGTGGCAGAAGAAGCGCAGGCGGTCGTCGCCGTCCTCGCCCATCGTCTCACCAGGTGCTTCCTCCAAAATCTCGCCACGGGCGCGCAGGGCGATGCGATGGAGACGCGCGTTGCGGAACTCTTCGGGTTCGGGCGAGATTTCGAGAGCTTCCAGCCCCGTGCCACAGGAATAGCAGCGAAAACACTGTGGATGGAAACGCTCGGATCCATTGCTGCCACTGCTTGCTGCACCAGGGAGACCGGCAAGGGAGATGAAGCGGCCTTCGATGGGATTCCGACATTCATGGCAGCAAGCTGTGGCACGGCTGCCACGAACGCTGCCGGTCGACGAAGACGGCAGGGTAGGATGGTGACCATGGGCACGCGACCAGTGGCTGCGAGGCGCAACATGGTTACCGGCACCAGACCGGCCACCTGGCGCAGGGAGCGGTCGTGCCAAAGATGTTGAGGAGGATTGGGCGGAAGGCGTCGTGATTATGACAGGCGGGGCAGGACTAGAATTGACATTGTTGTTGCCGCTGTCATCGGGGGTCAAGATGACTGGAATAGGTGGTACGGCCAGGCCATGAGTGTATCGACCATGGCCCGGGATCAGGATGTCGGGAATATTGGATCGCTGGGACGGGGCAGATGAAGGAGCTTGGGGCACATCGTCGTCACCGGGAAGAACGATAGTTGGGATTGGAGGAGCGGGCTGCGGCCGAGAAGTAGGTGCGGATGGAGTGGGGTCTTCGGACACCGCAATGGAGGGAATGGGTATGGGCGCCGGAGACACAGGAGCAGCCGGCGACGGTTCTTCCGACACGCAAATGGTCGGCACCGAGGTAACAGGGTTTACCTGAGCAGCGGGGGGGCGACTGAAAATGTTACGTGCTTGCGGGCGCGGCTGGTGCTGCTGTTGGTGCTGCTGTTGGTGCTGCTGCTGTTGCGGCGGGACAGGCGGCGGCGACCGAAAATCCGTAGGAGGCGTGACAGCAACGGCCGGCGTACTTTGCTGTTGTTGCTGCTGTTGAAGTTGCTGCTGCTGATGTCGCCGGGCGAAGATGTTCTTTGGGCTGATTTTGCGAATCTTTTGGAAGGGGCCGGCATGGTTGCCGCTGCTGGGTGCACCGCTGGGTGCGTTGATGGGGGCATGACTGGGGAAGTTCGTCTCCCGGACGCCTGGCTTCACATCAGTAGCCGCCTTGTCTGCTTGTGCCTCAACCTGGGTTGGGTCTTTCCAGTTGGCGTCAAAGCTTACAATCGGGCGTCCCGGGGTATCGCTGACAAAGGACGGCGTGGGGAGCTTGGGGTTGCGGTCCTTCAATTTCATGCTGGTAGCCTGGCGAATGTCATCGCTGCGAATCTCCACGCCATTTTTGCGCGCCACATCCGGGGATGCAATAGCGTTGTTCTTGGACAGCGTCGCTTCCGTGCCATTGTTGACGGTATATTGCGGATTCCGCGACTGCGAGGGTGCGTTGCGATGGATTTCGTAGCGCGAGACCAGTTTGGAGAGACCACCAGTGTGTGCTCCGCCGACGGTGCTGTTGTTCACAACACTGTCTGGCTTTACCTGCAAAACACTGCTGCTGCCCATGTCCGTGGTGGCCTTGGCCTTGGCCCGCTTGTCTGGTGTCGAAGTCTCGGGCTCCTCGTAGATCTGGTCGCCCGAAAAGGGCTTCTCAATCTCACCACTGATGTTGCGCTTCATGCTACTCCGGCGACGGCCAGTGGCGGCTGCTTTACTGTTCGCAGCACCGGTTGAGGAAAACGAGCCGGACACCATGGGGCGGGGACCACCAGCAAGGCCATTGTACGTCTTGGACCGCAGAGAGCCACCAGCAGCAGGAACAGACGGATTGGACGACGTGGTGTCACGGGCTTGGTCCAGGCTCTGGCGGGCACTGTGGCTACCGCTGTTGCCGCTCGTACCACTGCCATTGCTGACGACACGGTTTGACCCATAGGAGTGACGGCTACGCCGTGAGCCAGACGCATCAATAGAGGATCCCGCAGAGCTGCCCGAGACGGAGCGCGAGGCCGGGTCCCGCGCGAGACCACTGGGCTCAATATCGTTGCCATACCGACCGACGCTAGCGGTGCGGGCATGGGCGTAACTGTTCTTGCGCAGATGGTTCTTGTATTGGTACGGTGCGCCGGGCTCGGGCGGTCTGATGCCGTTCTGATGCTTCCAGACAAGCTCCGCAGCCTCGTCGAGGGCAGCTGCGTAGATGCGCTGCTCGTCGGGATCGGCATCGCTTCCGGGTGTGGGAATCATGGACACAGCGCCCGATGCCGCCGTGTCCTGCTGCTTGAGGTCCATATCCTCAAGTGCATGGCGCAGCGACACAACCTCTTCCTTCTCCATCCAGCGCTGGCCGCGCTCCATGTAGGTATCCGTCGGCACGACCTCGTCGGGCCGCAGGGGCCGAACGGAAGGTGCTGCGGAAGATGCTGTGCTGGTGGCGGCTGGGTAGTAGTCGCGGCCACGGCCTGTGACAGTGGAGTAGCGGGAGGAGATGCTGCCAGAATTGGAATGGCCGCCGAGTGAAGGACGGCCCGAGACGGAGGGCGCAGCGGTTATTGCTGTGGCATCGGACTGGGAGCGACTGTGCGAAGAGGTGTTGGAGAAGTCGTCGGCGGTGGCTACCATGGGCATGCTAAAAGAGACTCGGCTGCCAACGGAGACACGGCCAGAGTCACGGCGAGATGAGCTGCCACTGGCGGCCGGCAGCGGGCGTGCACCACCGGGTCGTGCAATGCGGTTGTTGCGTAGGTCGGCGAGGTAGTTTGCTGGTGTTGTTAGACGGAACTGCGTGTCCTCGGGAAGCCAGAAGGCATGGGTGCAACCTACCGAACTGGTCATTGGACATGTAGTTGCCAGACGGCGTCCGGTCTTTCGGCTTGCCGCGGGCCGACACGGTCGACATGGCGGGCAACGTGGAGCGGAAGATTTTGAGACGAAAGGACGAGAAGATGCTATGGTCAGGTGAGGTAAACAAACAAGCAAGATCCACGACAGGTACTAAAGAGGGAGTTGTGCGTGATGGTGAGAACAGAAAGTTGTGGTCCGAAAACGATGACGACGAGAAGATAAAGAAGCTTGTTGACAGCGGCAGATCGGGTTGCTGGGGCAGAAGATGCGGCAGAGGTAGAGGCAGAGTCGGAAACACAGAAAATAAAGAGAGCTCAGAAACAGTGCCTGGATGTGAGACAGGGATGTGGCGGCGGGCGGTGAACGAAGCGAAGCGGCGACGGTGGAAGAACAGTGCAACGAGTGCAGGCGACAGGTCTGTTTTCGTGTTGTGATGTGTTGTGATGCGTTGTGATGCGCTGTCTTGGGAGGTGAATTGCGTGAAGAGACGTGAAAAAGCGACGAGAACAAAAGTGACTCTTTTTTTGTGGCCTGTTCCTTTCGCTCCGGTTGTGGTTGTTTTGGGTAATTGCGACCTGCCCAATATTACTGTGCTTTCCCTAATAATGCTATTGCTACCCTTTCCAATATTTGGGCCAAAATACAATACAAAAAAGAGGGCCCCTGTCAATTTGCGTTTGTTTACCCCACTCTAGGCGGTTGACTAGACAACTGTGGCCCTAGGCGGGCCACAGGCGAATTTGGGAATTATTTCGACCGACAAATTTAATACCTTTAATCGCTCGCCGCCATTCAGCTGTTGTGGGCTACAACAGCGCACTGGACGCTAATGAGACAGCCGAGGCGGCGATCTGTTTGTTCGCGATTCACACAACGGACGGCTGAGAGTCGCGACCGAAACAATAACAACCCGCGCCGAGCTGAATCATAGATGCGCTTGACGATTGCGGCTCTAAAGCTTGCGATAACCCGCGAGCAAAACACGTCTACGATCAATGGTGCTGGCAAACAGCAAACATCATAAATGCATATTATTTAGTCCTTTCAGGTGGTGCGCAGTTGGCCATCTTCACGATGGCTTTCAACAAGCGTGCTTCTGAGTTGGCGATTGGCACGACCTTATGGGGTTCATGGAAGGCGCTCAAGCTTTATTCCCTGTCCGCATCATCAGTTGTGGAGGTTGTGTGCAGTCTACGGAGTCCGTGCAGCAGGTTCACTGCCATCAATCAAATACCCCTTGCCTGTGGCAATCACCTGTTATGACTTCCGGAAGGACGCAAGACGTAAGAAGTAATCGAACGTAAATCATGGTCTTCGCCGCTAATGGCCATATCATATTTTCGGCGCTTTGTCTTCTATTTTGTCGGCATCTGCTGTCGTGTCGGTCGTGGTGTTGTGATGTTTTGTTGCGACAGTTCCACCTCATAAGCGACTGACAGGACCCTACTCCGTGCAGAGCCGTGTCGGAGGATGAATGCCATTCGTTGGACACATGCTTCTTTTCTACGTGCACACTGCATGCACTCTGTATGCACCTTCTGCAGGAAATCTTTGTATCTCACGGTATGCGTCCTCTTTATGCTGACACTGCTGGCTGCATGACAAAGGCTTATCCCATTTCGGCAGTGAATTTACTAGGGCTCAGCTCAGAAAGAAAGTTTTACGATAGCAGGTGATGTGGATTCTTGCGCCTGGCCTCCCAGAACAACTCGTAACTCCGTACCGAGCACGACGTCTTTCGTTCGTACGGAGAGCTCCGCACTCGCTGTAAATACAAAACAAGCAGCATTTCCGGCCCGGTCAGGGCATCATCGTCTGTGGATACCGTTGTCTGCATGGCTGCCACTTCAGTGAGCAAGGCTGATTGATAGATACAGGAACCGATCGAGGAAAGGTTCGCGCTGATGTTTTTGACAAGTCAGGCGAAGTGTGCCGGCGATTGATCGAGTGTCTGATGAAAGGAGCACGATAGTTCACTTTTACCATAGTACCGGGGCTTGTTTCAAACCACGGAGTGACTCAGAGATGCGGCATACTTTTGCGCCATTTGCAGTCTGTGGATGGGATCTAGTCTTCGGTTTCCATGTAAGATTATTATTCCTCATGATTCAGCGATGGTTGTTGCATATGGAGCGGCTGCCATCGGCAGAAGGGCGCGCCGCCCAAGGCGGTTTTACAATGCCAACATGAACTACTCTGAACGCGTCTCCACGCAATTGTGGCGCGCGCCCGCCCCTAAAGTATTCCTCCCTGTAAAACGCCCTGATGGCGCGGGATCATGTGCCGGGTGTCGGGTCGCGGTCTTACTTTACATTCACAACCATCTCTTCCAAACTTGCTCGGTGTGTCTCTCAGCAATCCGCGCCAAGCTGTCCGCTCCGTCCTCGTCGTCGACACTCCGTCTCCGTATAGAGGCTTGATTACCTTTTGTACTGCGCGAAATTCGAAAAGTTTCACGCCCCGTACACTTATTTCACTTCGAGCAGTTTACCCGATGGCCAATCTTTTGTCCGCAGAGGATACGACCGGGGCTGTTAAATTTGTCTTCCTGAATCCTCGCTCTTACCGTGGCCGACAATGTTTAGTAACCACGTTCTAAACGATGGGTATCATCAGCACGAGCTTAAGAACCAGGTGCATTTTGTCTTACTCTGGCTTCACATGGTGCCACACGGCTCAGTCGTTTCCGTGGATGGACACACTTTTCTCTCCTGTCAGGTTCATATGCCGTGTCGTCTTTACGACGTCGTACGACGCATGAGGCTGTCCACGACGCAGTAGCCTACCGATGCCGTCCTGCTGCCAAGGCTGTTGTTTGTTTTTTGTCTGTCCTACAAGTTGTCAACACAGCCAATGTTGTCGTCGATGTGCCAGACCAACACCCGAGACATATCATTGACTGGATGTTGTTCTGGAAAGCAGCTTGTCAACATCGGCCTTGCTTTACGATGCACATATCGATGGCTTGCTGTAGGTTTGTTCATAGAGGTATCCCCGCCGGCCAATGTCGCCGATCGCGCTTCTGCTCCTTCAAGTTGGTGTGTCTGGAGTTTTCGTGGCTCTGTGTGGTTGCAGGTTACAACTGCCTTGTCTGGAAACAAACTGGAAATAAGGAATAGCCGGCCAAGGGTTCGTTTTTCTCCTCTGTGACACGGTCTTTATTTTCGTATGGCACTTCCTCTTCGAGCTCTGGTAACCAATCGTCTCCACTTAGGGGGCCCCGCCTTTTCTTATCCCGCCGTTTCTTATTTCCACGGGTTATTCACGATGACTCCGTAGCCAACGTTTTCTCCCATCTTTTTTTTCTGTTTCTTTATGTCATGCACATGTCTCCTCTTAGCCTTCCTCAATTTACTACGCCCACAGTAGTGAATTGCCTCTTTCGTAATCAAAGGTGGAGTGTAGCGCCGGGTGCGAGTTTCTCCTCGCAGTGTCATTTTGTTTCGGCGCTCTTCCCATCGACGTCCAAGTATTGAACTCCGTCGGGCCTGACCATGTTCCATTGAATAGTGAAAACCACGGCCAGAAATGGCACACCGGTCCGAGGTGCACGCGCATATGTAACAGCATGGCCAATACGTGCAGCCCTTCCGGGTTTCCATCACCCGTATTCCGCATTCATAAGTAGACCATCGCCCTTTCCCTCCGTGACAGAAGCAATTTGCTGGTTACTCTGTTCGTTTCGTTGATGGCTCTTGCCTTTCTTCAGTCGTCGACATCGCCATACTACTACTGCCCGTTCCGGCCCTCAGCGTTAACCTGCTGTACAACACCTGACTCGACATCGACAAGCGCACGCTACTGCCGCCTGCCCCAAATATAAAGAAAACGGAAGGATCGCGGTCAAGTGCGGTCGCGGCCGACGAGCAACAAGAACGTTGCATTCTTAGTCGCCGTTCTCTCCTCGATCCAGGAACTCGGCACGCCTTCCTAGCGCCTGCTGGGTGGCCCATCCCCTCTTTTCGCTACTTCGCTGCTTCGTGACAGGGATCCTCAATTTCTCTTGTTTCTCGATTCCTTCGTCTCCTCCATACATTCATTTGATTCTTCTTTTGTTTATTTATTTCTAGAAGCTATTGTCCTACTTGGCTATTTTTCTTTCATATACCGTCCCCTGATTGTTTGTACGGCCCAAATTTTGTGTCTTACACGGCTCCCCCGCACACACGCATAGTCCACGCCCACTCAAAATGTCCGCCTCCGAAACGGCGTCGGCGCCGTTCAACGGCTATTCCGTCGGCCGAGTTCCTGGCACGGCCGACTCTAATGAAGAGAAGCGGAACTTGCCAACGGGTGACGACGAGTCCACAAACAACGACTCCAACCAGGAGGAACCGTCCGCCGAGGCCGCGGCCGCAGTTGCCGCAGGCACCACGGGCGTTGAGCCTCCAATAGAGGTGCCGACAGAGGCGCCAGCCGAGGAATTCAAGGAGGGCGGCTACGGCTGGGTCGTCGTGCTGGCGGTGTTCTTGCTCAACGCACACACGTGGGGCGTCAACTCGGCGTATGCCGTCTTTCTGGCCTACTACCTCAACAACGACGCCTTCCCCGGCGCGAGCGCCATCGAATATGCCTTTGTCGGCGGCCTGTCCATCTCCATTGCCCTGCTTGTCTCGCCGCTGTCCACGGTGTGTGTGGGCCGTTTCGGCACCCGCGCAACCCTGTTGGTCGGCATTTTTTTCGAGACGCTGGCCTTTATCGGCGCCTCGTTTACGCGCAAGATCTGGCATCTGATGCTGTCGCAAGGCATCGCCTTCGGCATCGGCATGGGCTTCATCTTTGTCGCCTCCGTCGGCATCGTCCCCCAGTGGTTCACCAAGCGCCGCTCGTTTGCCAATGCCCTGGGCACCGCCGGCTCCGGCTTCGGCGGCCTCACCTATTCCCTCGCCACCAACGCCATGATCCGCAACATCAGCCTCGCCTGGGCCTTCCGCATCCTCGCCATTGTGTCCTTTGCCGCCAACTTGGTCTCCACCATCCTCGTCCGCGACCGCAACAAGGTCGTCGGCTCCATCCATGTGGGCTTCCGCCTGAGCCTGCTGAAGCGTGTCGAATACGTCCTGCTCGTCACCTGGGCCTTCTTTTGCATTCTCGGCTACATCATCGTCATCTTCTCGCTGCCCGCGTACACCCAGGCCGTCGGCGGCACCGCCTACCAGGGCTCCATTGTCGCCGCCATGTTCAACCTGTCGCAGGGTCTCGGCCGTCCCTTGATTGGCTTCTTGAGTGACCCCGTCGGCCGCCTCAATGTCATGGGCCTCGGCACACTAACCGCCTCGGTCAGCGCCCTCTTCATCTGGATCTTTGCTGGCAAGTACTATGCTGGCGCCATCATCTACGCGCTGCTCGGCGCCTTTTCCGGCCTGCTGTGGGCCACCGTCGCCCCCGTCACCGCCGAGATCGTCGGTATTCCCCTGCTGCCGGCCGCCCTGTCCGTCCTGTGGATTATCCTGGTGCCGCCCGCCACCTGCGCCGAGGCCATTGGTCTGAGCTTGCGCACCGACTCCGGCAGCGACTCCTACCTGCACGTCCAGCTGTTTGCCGGCTTCTGCTTCCTCGCCGCCTTCATCGCCGGCTGGCTGCTGCGCGCCTGGAAGCTGCACCAGCTCGAAGACGCTACCAACGAGCAGAGCGGCGCACCGCGCGAATCATTCTACCGCTACCTCCTCAGGTTCGCGTGGGTCTTCAAGGTACAGCGTGTGTAGAAGGTCATGATCAGGGGAGTGAATCAACGTACAAAAACAAACTAGAACACGAAAAGGAGTGACGTGAAAAGTGCGCCGTACGTGCAGTAGGAAATAGATACATTCTTGGTATAGACAGCATTGAAAAAGGGAACCTCGGAGTCTGGATTATGCAAGCGTTCTATTGCAACTTTTTGTATTTGCATTATATTGCATTTTCCCTTTTTTTTTTGTTTACTATTTTATAGTTTCATTTGTCAATATTCTGACTACTGGCATATTCATTTTAATGTTTTAATATCTAGATCATTTTTTTTTCACAAATTCCGTTTTCCGTTTCCGGCTTTGATACGTTTTTCAGATAAAATTCAAGATGATTATGACTTTGACTCCCACCTCAATATACTCGAAAACAAGTCTAAGAACACAATAAGCCCCAAGAAATAAAATATTACTTTGTTACCGTTTATTTGAATGAGCCGTTGTAGTGTCGCACCAAAGTTCGTTTTATTTTATTCTGTATGAATTTGTTCATTTATCCGTAACCAAGAGAGGACATCAAGAGAATGCAACAAGAAGCATAATAACAAAGAAAACAAGCGAGGCTCTGAAGTATTAAACAGTTCATGCTTGGAAAGTTAACCAACCGCTTCATACCGAAAGAGACCGAACGATAAAAAGGAAACGAAATAAGGTAAGAATAATACAATTTTGTAGAGAAAATAAGTAGGCTCGTAGGAATGATACCCAGGGGATTTTCATAAAGAGTCGAAGAGAATGGAAGAATAAGGGAAAAAATCCAAAAAAAAAAAAAAAATTAACAGCCGAAGAGACTCGCTCGCACCAAGAACATCGCTGTCCTTGCGATGGCGGTGGGCGGTCGCTCCCATAATGTCGCTGTCGTTGCCATTGTCATCGCGTGCCGTCTCGGCGCCCGTCTCGTCATCATTGTCGTCATCGTCACCACGGCCTCGGCCATCCCGAGCCAAGTGGTTGTCCTCGTCATCGGAGCCAATACTGCCCTCGCCCCGCGCTGCCCGCCGCGCAATCTCCCGCTCCTGGTAAATCTCGCTGCGCCGCCGCTCGGCCTCGGTCAGGCAGTCCACGTACGTCCGGTACTTGACAATCTCCCGCAGCAGGTACGAGCTCTTGCGCTCCCAATTGGCCATAGCCTTGGTAGCGTTTTGGCCCCGCGGCGTGAACGCGAGCAGCATAGGCGACCGCAGCGCGTTGTGCGACTTGAGTTCGCTCTCGATGCTCTGCACGTACGCCATCAGTGTTTGCAGCTGCTGCGGCTCGGCCGCATTGGACGGGCGCAGCGACTGGGCGGGCGGCATCCACTCGGCAATGGCAATGCGATCGCCGGGCAGCTTGCCGCTGCCGCCGTGACGGCTTGAGCTGCCAATACCTCCACCGCCAATGTTCGCTGCCGACGCCGTGAAACCACTGGACGAGGAACCGCTGCGGCCGTGGCCGAAATCGAAGGAGCCGGAGCGGAACGAGCTGCGCGATTGCAAGCTGGCGCGACCCGCAGCGGCCGAGCCAGGACGCGACGCCGAGGGCGGGTAAGGCCCGTGGGTACCATTGTTCGAGGTGGACGGCAGCGCCGTGCTCGACTCGCTCTTGATCGCGTTCACGAGCGAGTTGTTCACAATGCCGTCGCCCCAGCCGTACTCAATGTTGGATATGCCGCCGACCAGCGGATGTGTGCTCAGCCGCGCGCTCCAGTAGTTGGCCGTTGTCACAAACTCCTTGCAGATCTCGGGCGTGCCGACCTGGAACAGGTGGACGGCGCCCGTGGGCAGACTGAGCGCCCACACATGCGGCCGCTGGCGGGAGTATCCCGGGGGCGGTAGGGCTGACGCGAGTGTTTGCTTGAGGCCAAACGAGCCCACGTTCGTGGCGTTCTCCTGCCAGTTGCCACCACCAACGACGGCGCCCTTGGGCAGCGCATTGTTGCGTCCGCGGTTCTTCGCGCGCAGGGACTTGTTGGGCGTAAAGGAGAACAGGCTCATGTAGCCCTTTTGCACAACGGCAAAGACCTCGGTCCAGTTTCTATCCTTGGCCTTCTTGTCCATGCCGTCCAGGTGATGCTTGTGGACGACCATGCCCTCCTTGACCCACGGCGGGCCGGCCAGTTCGAGCGACTCGTCGTCGAGCAGTGGGTTCGCGCCGTCGCGCTGGTGCATGGACTGGTCGTCACTAATTATCGAAGCAGCTCCAGTGCCGCCGAGTGCGTCCTCTCGGATGATGGCTTGGCTGAGGGCGTTGGCGAAACCAATGGACTGCTGGTACTCGCCGCCGCGGCCTGCCCAGTTCGAGCCAAAGGACTCCATGGACATGGACGTTTGCGTGCGACCGAGCGACTGCCGGCTCCAAGTGGCCGATGATACGGTGGGGCTCCAGATGGAGTTACCGTCTTCGAAACTCGTGCGGCTTGACGCACCGCCTGCACCACCCGGACCACCAACTGCCGGGCCACGCACGCGCGACCGGCTCTTGGAAGTCCAACGTGACGAACCGGCCCGGGTGCTGGATTCGGTGACGCGTCCGCGGAGCGAGGCCTGGCTCTCCGAGGGAGCCTTGCTAATTACACTGGGCGTGCGCTTGAGCATGCCAATGACCGACAGGCCGCTCTGGTTGTTCGGCGTCTGGCTGTTGCTGTTGCCGTTGCCGTCGGCACCAAAGAGCGGCAGGCGCTCATCGCGGATCGAATTGTAAGTGATCTTGAGCACAATCTCCATCTGCGATTCCCAGGCGCGCATCGAACCCTCAAAAGGTGCCTTGACTAGAGGGCCGCAGTCGTCCTGGTTGTGGCCTAGTGACGACTCGGATCGTGGAGGGAGGGACGCCACCGCCAGGTTGCGGTCTTGGTCCACCGACGGACGTCGGCCGCTGTCGGGGCCGCCGTAGATGGAGCGACCGTTGGCCTTCGGATCGGAGTCGGCGAGAGTGTGATGAATCGACGTCATTGTGTTCTTAATAAACTGGGACCGAGTCATCTTGGACTCAATGTCGGCCAAATGCAAGTCGGTGTTGAGGAGCATGATCGAATAGCACGTAGTGTGGACGACATCTGGGGAGGTGTTGTCAGCATGGAAGAAATGGCACATTTGTCATAAGCACGAGACGGGATATACGTACCCAACGACTTAAAGCCGTGGTTGGGATTGTTGGCACACCATCGCTTGGAAAATGACACCAAAATACGGTCGACCTGCTGTGTCTCAGCGCGGAGCACGAGGCGACTGCACACATCGCGCAGCGCGTTGACAATGCTCTGGTTGCGGAAATCATAGAGCTCCATGTAGGCCTGGAGCGTACGCTGCCGGACCGGGCCTTCCTCGCCCATCCAGGCAGCGGCCTTTTCCTTTTGGATAAAGTCTTCGCAGCCTTCGTAGATGTTGAGGGCCTTTTGCCTGTCATCCTCGGTAGGCATGCCAACGACAAACTCGGGCTCGTCGATGATATTCGGGTCCTTGTCACCTGTCTTTGTGGCGCCGCCGTCGACCTTGACAATGGGCATGTGGACGCTGCCGCTGCCGCTGCCGCTGCTCACAAGAGGCGAGGCCTTGGACGAAGCGACTCCGGCAGAGCCTGCCTTGGGAGACGTGGTGGATGCAGCGCCTTCAATCGGCAGGCTCAATTGGCTGCCGCTCTTCTTGGAGGATGGGTGGTGGCTCGAGGGCGATAGGTGCTGATCGTCCACAGCTGACGGCGATACGGACAAAAAGTCGCTTTGTTCGGAGCGTTTCTTGGACAGTGCCTTGGTCATGACACGGCGCGGGCTCTCATCGTCGCCATCGCTGTCGTCGCTGAGGAACGAGCCCGAGCGGGCAGGATGAGGCGGTGCGGGAGGCTGTCTTGTGGGTGTCTCGAGGTGGTGTCGTTGGCCGCTGGTGCTCCGGTCTTTGCCAGACGATGGCTCGGGGCCCACCGAGCGGATGGTGGCAGTTGGTGGGGGTTCGTAGTCGGGCGAGAAGCCTCTGACGGCTCGGTTGACCGTGTCGACATTGTCCGACTTCGCACCCTTGTCCTTAGATGGCGTGCGAGGTGAGCTATCGAGGTCTGTCGGCTGTAGCGGCGAAGTCGTGCCTGCATCGTCGCCATTGGTCTTGAGGTACGGGCTCATGGCATGGCTCAAGCTCGTGACGGGACTGGGCGCCGGCTTTTCGACGAAGCGCTGCGAGTTGGGCATCTTCAAGGGCGACACGAGTGGCGCAGGCCGAGACTGTTGTTGCTGTGCCACAGCAGGCGGAGGAGGTGGTGGTTGTTGTTTTGGTTGCGGTGGCAGCACAAGGGGCATTGGCAGTGGAGGTGGGGATTCCGTTTCCGAGATGCTCTTCTTGCGGCGCCTGAAGAAGCCAGAGGGTTTCTTTTGCAGCGTCGCATGTGTAGAATGGTGGCTGTCTCGGGACGGCGGAGCGCTTTGTTGTTTCTGGTTCTGACCCAAGCCAGACGAGCTGTGTTGCTGGCTGCGGGAGCCGTTTGTTGCGTCGACAGAAGAGGACGAGGCAAAACCGCCCGACGTGTTTGTGGACGCGGATGGTAGCTGTGGCACAGGCTCGTTTTCAGCCGCAGTGTCACGGAACCCACCAAACACACGTCGGAAAAAGCTTGGTTTCTGTCTGAGCGGATGCGGTGGAATCTGCTGCGGCTGTGCGGTCCGTGGTGGCACGACTTCTTTGGACTTTTCGTAGCCAATGTTGGGAGCCGGTGCCGAATCGAGGTCGAAGGCAGGTGGTAGTGGTGGAGCAGCAGTATTGTTAAATTTGGTCTGAGACTGCCGGCCGACGGTTGCGCTTCTTGATGACCGCACGCTTTTGCGTCGCTCAGGGTCTGAGGGAGGATCGGGTGGCGGTGGTTGGAAGGAGGGGATCGACGGCATTGAGGGGGCAGAGGTCAGTTTTCGAGGGCCACCGGGAACGGTGGGCGTCGGAGCGGCGTCGTCGTAGGCGTCGTTGAAAAAGGAGTTGGAGAACTCAATATGCCACGGTTGCGTGGTTTGTTGTGCTGTTTGC